GTTCGCCGCACTTAAAGCTTTCTCCACTATATCACCTGCCGACTGATGGTAAGAACTATTAGTAATGAGTTCTACCTTGGCAACGACGTACAGTGACCACTCAAAGAAGAGACTATTCTGAAGGAAGAGGTGAAGGTTCATTCAGTTCATCGTTTTGAAATCGAATAGTCCGTGTGAACTGAACAGCTGTAAGAATAATCTGCAAAAAGTCCAGCTACACCTTTCTTTTCCGGTAACAGTAATTAACTTACATCGAAACATTTCTCAAGACTATACCTTTAAAAAAGACAAATATCTATAGCTCAACTGGGATTATAAAACTGTTTTCGTCGCTAGAAAATCTTGCTTTAAGCCATGGCCACTTTTACGAAAACGACAAGTACAACCCCCAGGCCAACTGTAAACAGCAACAGTAGCTCATAAGACATTATAATGTCCCTCGCTGCCCGAAATTTTATTTTGGGCCAACAAAACTACAAACTAACATTTAACCGGCTGCTGTAGCAATGAAATACGAAAAAGACAAACCTTATATCATTTGCTTCAGCTACACCAACCTTAACAAGAAGTTCAGGTATTCCTGGTGTCTCCATTTTCTTCTTACCAAATGTTTGGATGTTGAAAGCGGCAATTTTCAGGTTGTTGGGCTGATTCTGTGAATCGTCTCTTCTCTTTTGTTGCTTGTGGTTATCAGGAAACTCAACAATGAATGGCTGATGAATATCTCTTACAGCCTGTATAGTCTGCCCAGCTTTGTCAAAATTTTGGTCACAGAAAACCAAGGAAAGTGTCGCAACAAAACAAGCCAGGATGGTAAAACCCATTTTAACAACACAATGAATACCCAAAATAAAGAAGCTCTCTTGTACATACAAAATGTGGGACTCTCTTACACTAATGCAACACCCTCGAGGGCAGGTGAGATTGGCACAATAAAAAAAATGGACATATCAAACTATGCATCAAATGTTACTTTACGAAAAAGCAAGGTTTAAAAAAACAAACATTACCAAATGAAGAAATGTAAAATGGTTTCCGTGTTTACACAGCCTGATGTAAACACGCGGGACGTTGGGAGAACATGAGATAAGCGTAGGAAACCACGACGCGAAGCGGAGTGGTTTCCAGCTTATCGAGCTGTATCTTATCTTATCAACCTCCCAAGTGTTTACATCAGGCTATGTAAACACGGAAACCATTTTACATTTCTTTTATAAAATAACTAATGAAAGAGGAACGAAAACCGTGTTTACATAGGCTCATGTAAAATGGTTTTATGGCCAATCAGAGCGCGCGTACTATTTGAATTATTTTATAAAATAAATTACAAAAGGGCAGAATCACTCCGTTATAACTCTTTCGATATTTTGGCCACCATTTGGCTCTCTAATTTCGAAAATTTTGAAAATTACACAAAGTTCTCAGCAGAACACAAATCAAGATTATTTGTAAGTTTTAACGGTGAAAATCTTCCCAATGGTAGCTTTCTGAAAATGTCAAATATTATTCTGAACGTTTCAAGGAGCTACATCTGTGTTAACAAGTAGGACTCAAGTAATAATTGCTAAAAACACGACCCAACTGTGTTAACGAAAGAAACAGAGGAGGAAACTGTAAAAAGCTTTTTAAATTTATTTCCTTTAACAATAACAGTACAAAAGCACTTCTCATTATCTTTTCTAAGACTTATTTTAAATTCCTTTGACAAGAATTTCCTTCTACAAGTGTACTGACGTCTTCCTTGAAATATGATCTCAACCCCTTGTAATATAAATGGATACTTCGGCTGAGTAAATTAAATAGACATTTTGTAAACGACACCCAAAGATGTGTTGAATTTCTTTTAAAACCTAAGGTAACGAGTTGCAATTGATTTTGATAATTACACATACTTAAGTACCTATATTTGGATCAGTCTTTCTCGTATTTTCTCCTCGAGTGGATAAACAGTAAATTAAGACACAAAGAAGTAAACTTAAAATATTGTCTTGCTATCTTGCTCGAAATTTAGTTTTAGCGTCTTTTCTTTTCCTTTACAGCCGAAAGAGTGCTAAAAATACTTCTTAAAGCCAACATAGTGGTTTTTATGGAACAGTATCCGGTTTTTAAAATTGTACGGATATAATTACTTTGTTTTAATTTCCATTAAAAAAAAAAGCGTTTCAAAATAGCTTGTGCCAGACATTTATTCCCAAAAGAGAAAAAACAACCCTGAAGTGTTCTATTCATTGAGAAGCTAAGAAGTCAGTAATTCAACTCAAATTTTAAATTATTTGCTTCACTTCACTGAGTTCTATTTTAGAAACCTGTATTTAGGACCGTGAATCTTATGCATCGACTTAGGGTGAGTTGGGTGAATGAATATGTATCCACGGCAACAAGCATCAAGCCACTGCTTCAGTATCCAGCGGAGACTCATTTGTTTTTAGAAGGACTCGGATTGGCAAGCCTTGTTATTAATGGTTTGTGGTACACCCAGTTTTCTCCCACTTCATGGAACAACTGCCAATCAAAACCAAAGAGACAAATGTTTAACCTTTAACAGCAGGAATATAAGTAGAATCAAGCATCCCTCTTCTGTGAACTCTCCTTATAAGATTTACCTCCCCACCCTCACAGTCAAAAAACAACTTACCTTTGTTTGCCAAGTAAGTCCTTTTTCTTTTCTTTCTCTCGCCTCTGCTCGCTGTCGTTCTTCTAACTAAAAATGAAAAATGGCAGAAACTAGTACGTTATATTCCAGTCAATTGCTTAACATAATCACTAACTAGAACAAGTAGAAAAAGGATCGGACATAATCCACTATTTACTGATAACTTATAAATATATTTCGATAACATCGAAAGGTAGGGAGTGGTCGCCAAGACGCCCGAGCCAAAGGTTCAAATTTAAATCAGTCGACTAACAAAATATAAATAAACAATGTAAATAAACACTGAGACAACAAGAAAATAAGTAAGAAAAAAAAATTAGGTAGACCTTCAGCATTTATACTAATGAGAGATCAATCAATAGGATATGCACAGGAGCACGCGAGACTATATAAAGTTCATACACAGGCACACCAAGAGCTTGCCATGAGTCAGCCGCATTAAAACGAAATTATTTCAGAGAAGTTATAGCGGTTTTAATAACAAAGAACATATCTACGTACCTTGTGTTTCGCTTCAGTTGCATTTTCCACATCGTCATCCTTTAAACTTATTGTAACATCTTTCCATAATCTGAGTGGAGAAAGATTCGCCAATCAAACAAAGGGAATACTTACTCCTTCTCTTCAAACAAATACAACCTACAAACAAAACTAGCATCAACAAGATGTGGGATGCTTACCTCCTAGATTCGTTTCCTTCTTGTTTATGAATTTTCTTTACAGTTTTCATGACTGTTGGCATGCTCAATGTATCGACAAATAATTCGGGTTCCTAGGAAAAACCGGAGTTACAGATGAGAAGAAAAAAACGTCCTTCTCTCACTTAAAAACTAGCTTGGTGTTACAACGGCGGCGGGTGGAGTTTTGGTAGTTTACAGCAGATTTTTAAGTATGATCAGTGAAGACGCTGCTGTCTCTTACTGGCAACACTTGACTAACTAATTTATCGCCTGGTTACCTCTCGATCGGAATATTTGGCAAACATTTGTCCATTCCATTCCCCTGTGATGGTAAGAAAGGTTTTCTTATCTTCTGGAGAACTAAAGCAGACAAAAAAGACTAATTGACGGTCAAGGACAAAATCGTTTGTAAATAGGAAACAGCAACAATCCCAGCAAAGTGTGTTTTACACTTACGTTACTTCACAAGTTATACGATGCTTTTTACCACCATAAAAAGGCTGAAATGTAAAAAAATACAATTATAATCATAAAGAGCACAGACAGATATAGGTGAAAACAAGCTTCCTCTGAGCAGAGCAGTAAACAAACCCGGCAATGGAACTGTACTGCAGCTTGATATCCAGTTTTAGAACAAGTTATGTTGGTTTTTCCTCCAATCTCCACCCAAGGAACTGTGAGAATTGATCTGTAACACGAAAGATCCAAATTCACTCCAGGAGTCAATATTTCACATGTGAAGCAATTGAAAAAAGTAGTCTTGTCTAGTGAAATCGAGTTAAGAGCAAATACCACAACACTGAAAACTTCTACCTGCCATAGCCATTAGGGAATGTTAATACATAGTCCTCGTTATATGGTAAAACTGACACACAACCTGTAACAAGAATAAATAGGATCAGTATGGAGGAAAAGCTTTGACCTGAGGTGTTTCAAACGAAAAAGATGTTAAAGCCTTAGAAAATAAGGTGTCACCTTGTCCAATATTTTCTACTCCAACTGACAGTCCTAGAAACTTTGACTTGGTCCAGATGTGTGCATTGAACGATATCTGTTTACTGCAATTCTCTGCATAAAACGCAGAAACTAGGAACAAATAACATACATTATAATAATACTTCAAGAATTACATGTCAAGCACCTGACAAGCCTTCAAGAAATCAATACTCACTTGGAGGATGATGGGATACTTGCTCGGCAATGAAAGTGACGTCATCTTCTGATGCCCACGGCAGTGGTCCATCAACTGGACATTTCTACAAATCACGAAAACATAAAAAAATGTTAAGCTACAAAGTATTTCAAGAAAGACGTCTGTCGTTTTATATCTACCTTGGTACATTTTTTTATATTATTAACTCAGTCGTAAATCTTTTTTGACCCAAAGAAAAACAATCATACTCCATCTTTACATTTTTTTTTCCTCGTTCACATCAGTTTGAGTAGGAGACACTAAAAACTGAGTCGTCCACTCGACTTAAACCTACAATCATTTTGATTTTTCATTCAGCAGACTCCGATAGGTTTTTGCAACACCCTAATGACGTACCAGGCATGCAACAGTTCTTGAGTTTTCTTCGGTTTTTTTGGTTTTAAATTAATGTCCTATTGGAATCTCTACAACGAGTAGCACCAAGGCATCTACATTATGTGTATTTCAATATAATGGTAACAGAGAATGGTGGTAAAGTTAAGCATTTTCCTTTCTTTAGTTTTCATATTTGGAGCAGTAGGGGATGGGGTGTATGAACGATGAATAACACGGAGATATTCTGATAACTACACGTAGAAAGCCAACTCTACTTCCTCATTTGGTGAAATCTGTTCACTTCCTGTTTTCATTTAAATTCAGTCATTTTCCTGTTGGGTGGTCTGTGTAGTCATAGGACATTTATTGTGACGAAGCACATGTTGTTTTAATAGCTGACATTTCAGTCAAATCCATAACGACTCATTTGATCAGATAAGTTATGTCACTAACTCACCTCTGTTCTTGACGTTTCACACTCAGGCAAAACCCAGAAACAACGAAACACCTCTCCTAGGATAGGATTGTAAGGCTTCTTTGCTACTGAGCCCTATAAAAAATAAAAGTTCACAGAAACGTTTTTGTTCCCAACAACAGTCCTTATTATACCTATTTTCGTGAAGCAGTGACAAAATTTCTCCTGGCCAGCCGTAGCTGATGGTAGTCTACACAGGCCAGTCTATCAAGGTTATTTCACCAATCAATAATACTTGACGGCTTAGAGCGAGGGAAAAGTGAAAGTGAAATCTTTGGAGTTAAATTCTGCGGCTGGATGCCAAGGGCATCCACGGCAACGGATAAGCTGCCAGCATACCTTTAATCGATGGGATTTAAAAATGTTCTATGAACTAGCTAAAAGAGAAGTGTTAAGTAGCAAAAACGTATTAGCGATCACGTTGAGATGGACTAAGTGAGCGGGAAACAAATGAGCTGTTTATTGTCGGTTTACCTGAAGAAAACTGTATATCTTGAAAAATAATGATGTAACAAATTAATCTAACGCTTAGTAACAAATAAGTCAGCAAAGAGGAATGTTTAACATACCTTACGACCAGCGTGGAAAGCAGACAAATACCACCTAACTACTGCTATCATACGATCTCTTGGATGTGAATAGTTCACAATACTAAAAATACAAAAAACAACACACAAGTTAATGCATACTTGATCACTTCATGCACGAAAAATCTGCTGAGACATCAAATTCTTATCTATTATTCATTACGTTGACAGACTGACTGAACATTGGAAAACAAAACTACCACTGACGGAACTTACTCGACAAACAGGTCAGGGTGAGCAAAAAAATCTGCATACATTTCCAACAAAGACCTTCTCTCCAGGATAAACGTCGGAAGAACAACCTACAAGCGGGAAAAAAGTCTAAGATGTCAATCAATCAATCAATCAATCAATCAATAAATCGAGTGACAGAGCCAATGAAGAGTCTAGTTTCGCAGCATAAGCGATTCTTTTTCCTAAAATAATTCAAATAGTACGCGCGCTCTGATTGGCCATAAAACCATTTTACATGAGCGTATGTAAACACGGTTTTCGTTCCTCTTCCATTAGTTATTTTATAAAAGAAATGTAAAATGGTTTCTGTGTTTACATAGCCTGATGTGAACACTTAAGAGGTTGGGAGAACACTCGATAAGCTGGAAACCACTCCACTTCGCGTCGTGGTTTCCTACGCTTATCTCGTGTTCTCCCAACCTCCCGCGTGTTTACATCAGGCTATGTAAACACGGAAACCATTTTACATTTCTTCAGTTATAATCAGTTCACCTTGGTCAAGTCCATTCCCAGACGCACTTGAGATAACAAATGAGTGATAATACTGCTATGTTTGTCGATAGCCTCAACTGCAATCAACAAAAACAACCCACAAATGATAAATCTGGATGGACTAAGCAATATTGTTGTCTCCTTATGCGTTTAAATTTGAGAATAACTGATGACAAAAATAAAAACAGCGACTAGGAGCATTAATAAGCCATTCTAATAAACCACACAGCAGCCGAAACAAAGCCACTTTCATAGAAAAACAAAATAAGGAAAAATAGCAGTTAAGTCTTACCTCTGACAGTTTTTGCCATTGTTTAAGCAGTTTTACCGAAATTAACGATACTGTGCTTTTAGTTATACTTTCGCTATTGTGCCAAATAGTTCCCATTACGTAATATGTTATGTAGATCACAAGAATCTCGTGAGACAGAGACACAGTTACGGTAATGTTAGGCACGTGCTTCTCTAACCGCCACGACAGTGTCAAAATACAAGCTAATAGGGTTATTCATCGTACCAACGTTCAAGCATTGCTCTTTTATGTAAAGTTACAAGCAAAGCCTTAACACTACTGAAATGGAGGACTACGGAGGAAAGGAGATAATAATAATTTTTACTTTGTTGCATGTGAAGTGTTTCATCCGGAGAAACGCTCAGTCTAAGTATGGGAGATCGTCTACTTATGAATGCACGTGCACGTTGACGTAATATTTATTTCGAGCCCTTGTCACTAGTTAGATATTTCTGTTTCAGGCCAAGGAATTTAGCAAATTGACAGTTTCTCCAAACTGATTTCCAACCTCCTTCCGTTTTTAGTGTATGAGGGGCAACTGTATAATTTGATTAGATCTGTAACACAATCTAAATAACATTTCCCAAAAGAGCCTCTCAACCGAGATAAGCCTCTTACCCCACCCCACTAGAGAGTTACCCCTTACAAGACCTTCAACTTCCTTCAAAGTAATAACATTTAAGGTGAATCTCAGATTTCCTCAAAGACTGTTGAAGGGTTGGTTTGGTTAGGTGGGTTAAAAAGGAAACGAGACAACAGGTTTTTCTTGATTTATGAGTCAAAGAAATTATGTGTATTGATATCCGTGATGAGGCTAACTGACTTTCACCTCGTTAACTGTTAAAAGAAACTTCTAAGGAACGTTGTATAAAATCAATAAGTATCGACGTGTCAAGCTATTGCCAAGTTATTACTCGTAAATAATTATTATTGTCATCATAAGATTCAAAAGCGGTGTTTCGTTAAACCTTACGCCTACATACATTTGCAAATCACTTACGGTCTCCTCCTGTAGTGTCATCATCCTCTATTTCATATTCGTCTAAATTAAAATATACATATAGAGATACTTTAGTATATTAACAACAAAGTAAAGGCCTTTTTAACTCCCTCATTTACAAAAATTTGAACCGGGCTTTGACCAAACATTCAAAAATTGGATTTCTCTGACACTTACACAATTCCAGTGGGAAAAAAAGAAGCAACAAGGTCAAGTGTCTTAATTTAGGGACTTAAGAGATTCAGTTAACCGTTTAACTCCCAAAAGTGATTAACATGTTACTTCTCCCAATAATATCCATACATTATCCAGCAAGCAGGTAATGAGAATACTCAAACTTATTAGGGAAAAGTTATCTTGATCTAACACCAAATTCTCCCAGCTACTTTACAAGGAAATGTGTAGTAGCTAGAGGGGAGAATTAACAATCAGATCCTGTAAGTTAGAGGGTTAAGAAAGGGATTTTACTGTACAATTTCTAATTATTTCCATGATTAAGGCCAAACAAACCAAGCCTTGGATTCTCTTAACTATGGACATACCGCCATTTATATAAATAACACAAAAAATTACCTCGATCCATCCACTTCTTGGATGCTGAAAATGGGTTACTCTGAGGAGGAGAGCTGTACAAAAAAAAGACAACAACAATAACAACAACTGTCAACAAAGAATTACCTTAAGTTTGAAATTAACATTTCAAAGACTCTGATATTGGGCAAGCCTTACTCTATTCAAGCTCCAATTATAATGACTTCTTCTCGAAGCACAGTCAACCTTACCTCATGGCACAATATATTTACAGCTATTGAGTTAGCTTACTGCAGTTGTGTAACAGTGCAAATTATAATAATGATTATTGATGTTACATAGAGGCAATGTTGTTATTGGACAGAGAGAGGTCCACCACTAACCTTGACGGTGCAGATTCTGAGTCATGGAACTCATCTGCATCAAAGAATTCCACTTCATCTTCATCCTCGCTACTGGAGTATGAAGTGAATGGTACCACATGATCATCACGACTTGGTGACAAAGAGAACCCAACTTGTGGGTGAATACTTGTTCTGTCAAGTTGTAAGTGAACACTTCTTTCAGATGATGATAGTTCATGGTTAGATTTTGATGTTGCCTTAGAGGATTCAAAACCACATCCTTCATCACTGGAAACTGAAGAAGACTTATCCCTCACATTAAGTGAGGAGTCACTCTTACTGGACTTAAGGGTTCTGTTTTCTGCTGCAGTTTCCACATTTTGCTCTCCTTCATTCCCACCTCTATCACTGTCCTGTGCAAGAGAAGGGTCTGGGCTTTTGGCTGAGTTATGATCATTGAGTACTGGCATCACTAGCTCTACACAAGTACTTGCAGCAACTGATTTCTCACATTCAATCTGTTGGAATTAAAGTAACACAACAACTGTTTACAAATGTTAGCTTTATGGGTGTTCACAGGAAGGAGAATGGGTGTTAGTTTACAAAGTTTCAAAGCAGAACTGTTTCATAAATTAATGATGAAAAAATCATCAACACAGTTACAGTCCTCAAATAACAATGTTGGTCTATCAAGTATAGAAGAACAGTTACCTTTAGAGCAGACATCTGCTTCAAGCAATGATTCATTGACTCCAGCATTCTCTATTGAAGAAAAAAATCATAACAATTGTTTTATGGATACCTCCATCAAGGGCCATTTTTCCTAGACTGATTAATCACTTGGAAAAATCTCCAATTGAACTGTATGTTTCTTACAGCATTTCTTATTATTTTAGATGTTGACACATGAAAAATTCTCTTGGCCTTAAAAGATTGAAGTTTAGTTACAACACAAACCATTCAGAATACCATAAAAAGAAATCTATTTTGAATAATAATTTATGGCCCTCTAAAAAATATGAACCCAACAGGTACCTGTTTGGAAAAGCATTACTTTGTATGAATAATTTATATTGTACTTTAGGAGGACAAAATAACATCACTTCTGGAAACTTTCTTCATTGCTTAGCTTTCCACGTAGGGTTACTAGGGTTGTTGGTTTGAATTTCATGTAATTGAATTTTATTTATCCACTGAAATTGCAAGTTGCAAGAACCTTACTCAATTTATAGGTACTTGATAATGTGAAAATGGAAAACTACAAAACTACAGTCTTATGGAAGTATAAAAATAAGTTTGCAAAATATCTCTAAATTCCAACCTCATAATCTTATTTTAAAATTTCATGCAGGACATAAAAAATAACCAAGAAAGGTGCAGTGTAAGTTATGTCTGCTAACAATGTTTTGTTATTCTACTCCTTAATAAATTATCTTAAATATATTAAAGTTCACACGGCAACCAGGTAGGCCATCAGAAATGGTTTGATGCTACTCTGGTTTACAGATTTAGTGACTTTGACCCCTGATGAAGGCACTAGACAGGAGTGTCGAAATGTTGGGTCTATGAATTGTAACTTCTTCGGTTACATCCATTAAATCTGTAAACCAGAGTAGCATCAAACCATGTCTTATCTTAAATACTCAGTACTGTGCAGTGTACAGCACTTTGTCTTTCGCTGTTGTTTGTTATGAATTAAATTGCTAAAATCATAAAAGTACACATTTGTTTGGTTGCAATGAATAGATAACACTTGGAAAGCCTAAAAGGGGTACAACTTCAAAAATAGATATAGGAATCATCTATTTCATGAATATAAGTACTTTATCCTATCATCCAAATAATGAGTAATCATAAAAAGTTTCCAAAACATTTGGTAAGCTTGTGCCCAGGTACAATACCTGGGATTAGTAAATTCATCCCTTTATCATTTATCTGCTGAGATTGGCCGCATATCCATTCAGTTTACCCATGATGGCTAGGATCACAGATCTTCAGTCAATCTCACGGCTTTAAATGAAGGACAGTTTTTTGTCAAAGGTGTCACCCAGAATTAACTCTAGGACAACCCTAACAGAGGGTGGGTTGCATGAGACTTTCTTGGCTGATTTTCTATCTCGCTTTTGTTGTATGATTGACAGCCAAGCTTACCCTCTTTCATAGGTCAGGTAGCAGGCTTGATGTTTGAGGTTGGACAATGTGGAGTGTCAAAGAAAGGCAACTGGGTAGAGGGTGCTGCTGACTTTGAATATTGGGTTAAGCATACAGTTAATGTGTGAGCAAACACCTTTTTGCCAATCATTTTTAACCTTCCTTAATTTGCTGTTACTTACAGTAGATGTGTCCTTTAGGATAGCATATCTCTAAGGAAACAAAAAGTACAAGTAATTTAATTAAGCTCCCTGACTTCGTTGTGATGTGTAGTAAAATGAGTTTGATAACATAAAATTCTGCCAAGTACATGAAAGGGAAGGTCAGGGGATGGGTGTTCTAAATCAATTGTCCTAAAAAGTTTTTTTTTTCCACCAATAGCTCAAAAAATTGAACCTAAACAACAGCAAGCAAAAATACCTGTGAATCTTGAGCTCCTGTATCAGCACTCATTCGAGTATGTAAATTCTACAAGAAATATTTAAAACATAATTGTATAACTGCCTCCTCCTGGTCTAAACAAACTATATTGAGGTATGATTTGTCTTATCAAGTTTTCAAATTAACAGAATTGGATAGAATCCCTTAAGTGACTGGAAAGGCTTCACTGTCCTACAAGCACAACTAAAATTTACTTCACCCAAAAAATGCTACTATTAAGAATTTGTTCATACTTAGCGTGCATATATCGAGTTATGGATGCATGTGGGAAGTTTGGAAAGCATGAAAAATATATAAGAGTAGCTCGAGGCGCAGCCGGGAGCAACTCTAGCTTTTTGAGTGATCTCCAAACTACCCAAGTGCATCCATAACTTGATATACGCACAGCTAAAAGCATGAGCAAATTCTTTTATAACAGAGCGGCAATGAACAAAAACTGCTCACATCATCTTATTTACACACAGGTGTGCGTAAATAAAGATTTTGTTCATAGCAGTTAAATAGGACTTACATAGAGCAAGCACGCGCATTATGTTATAATACTTATTTTCAAATGAAATCAAAGTGACATGACAAAACAACCAAAGGTTTTTTACGTCTTTTATATTTTGGAGGTAAGGAAACTCTGTGACATCACAACACAAATTCATTCTTGGATTTTCCCAAAGTAATGTACTAAGACAGCATTAAAGAACTTCTATTTGGCAGAAAAACATGTATGTCCACCAAGAAGATGGGGGCTTACACTGTCAGAGATGTGATGATGTATACTTATACAGAGTAAATGAAATAAATTCATTATCACTTGTATACACCTTGATTTGTTGTTCAAGAATCTTCTGGTATGCATCAGCTTCTGCTAGACGTTGTTCCAAGTTTTCTTGAGAGGGATCAAACAGAGTCTGAAAACCTGCCATTGGTCTCTGAAAAGATTTAGGCACAAAACAATGTCGAATCTTCCAAGGCACAGAATAACAATAGTATACTTTCCAATTTACATAACCTGAACACACTTCAATTCAAGATCCTGAAATAAGAAAGAAATAAGAAACCTTTCTGGCTTGTGAATGTCTTTTGATTGTGTCTTCTAAAGCTCTAATCCAGCGTTCTCTCTCCTCTGCATCACGTGCTGACAAAAGGAGAGGAAACTATTATAATCAAAGTCGTAAATAAAGTAAAGCTAAAAAAATTAAAAACAAACAAGAATCAAAAAGGCCAGAACAGGACAAATAGAACTTCATACTTCATACATCAAAGATCTATATTAAAATGCTGACATACAGGTTCTGATTTAAGCTCAGCATTGGTTGCAAATTAATTTCCTCAATTATGGTAATGTATGATGATGTATAATAATGAGTTGGGAACCTTAAAAATAACAACTGGTCATCAAAAAAATATGCTGTAAATTTCTGGTTTTGACAGGCTTTAAGTTGACCAGCTGATCAAACAATCTGACCATGGATATCTAATACAATGTTACTTAACTTGAGACAGGCTAAAGGTTGACCAGCTGGTCAAATAATTTGACCATGGATATCTTATAAAATGTCACCTAACTTGAGGCAGGCAGGCAAAACACTGAAAAGTATTGTTTTCAATCAACAGTCATATTATGGTATTCTTCAAAGGAACACAAGTTCACGTTCAAGTTTTTGGTCTAACTGATTACCTTCTCATCCCTTAAAAACTAGTCAGTAACTTGGAAAATGACCCCCAATGGAATTGAGTCTTTTGCAGGTTTGAATTTATAAAAATGGAAAATAACATCAGAACTTGGGCAAAATTAACTGCTATAGACGAAACTCTGTATTTCGCGTGGTGGAGTTATTGAATAATTACCCCCATTGAAACAAAGACCATAGCTAGTACAATGAATGAGATCAAATTATACATACAGCTCATGGAACTGATCAAACTTTGTTGCAGCATGTATGTTTTTCCAGTTATTTGCAGCTGCAATATACATCCTTATTCAAAATTTGGAAATATTAAGAAGCATTATATTAAAGTGTACAATTATAATTATTAATTTAAATTATATGTCAAGGAGAGTAAAAACTTTATATGGATACCTTGAAAGTGAAAGGTCTTTTGATCACAGCTTATTGTAAAGGTGCTGTCCTCTTCATCATCAATTCCAATGTTTGCCCCCTAAAATTTATTTCATTATGTCAACCAACTTTTTCACATGTAATCTTTAAATGAGTGCATCAAAATTTTGACTTGGACTGTTATGTAGAGGTCAGGCTGGCTATATCACAGGATCTTTAGCTACATGTACAACGTAAATGTAGAATTTACTCCCATATAAATTGTTATATTTAATTTGAGTAAGATACTTAGGGACAAGACAATGAGTGAGAATTAAGGGGTGGGGTTACATATCTTGTACCCCTACCTCACATCATATAATTATCCATAGGTTCAATTTTTCAAACATTGCAGGGCTACATCTCTGTAAGCTTCTTTACAGATAACCCCAAAGCTCAACTTTACACCTTAAGGGTCCTTTTCAACAAAGTCAATGCCAATGAATATAGAAGCAATCCTTGCAGTTATGAACAGTACTGAACTAGTATTCAGGCCCACATAGGACTTGAACCTATGACCTCTGCAATACCCATGCAGCACTCTACCAACTGAGCTAACAAGCCAACTGGGAGCTAGTCATTATGTTGGATCCAAATAAACCTTCCAAGTAGTGAACAATGACTGTAAATATAGGAAAATCATGTATGTGCACTGCGGTTGAAGAAACTAATATAAGAGTGATCCTTGCAGTCATGAACACATCTAAACTACTAGTTGAAATAAGGCCTGAAAAAATTCAGGTCCATACAGAATTTGAACCCATGACCTTTGAGATATCGGTGCAGCACCCTGCCAACTGAGCTAACAAGTGCTCTACCAACTGAGCAAACAACCACTACATCAGTAGTGTTCATAACTGCAAGGATCGCTTCTGTATTCATTTCTTTATCTGCAGTACACATATAAGATTTTCATATATTTACAGTCAAAGTCAATGCCTTTCGCCAACTGCTCCATATGAAACATTGCATTGAAAAGATGTGGAGGGTCTGTCAGATATCAACTTAATTTACCTTCAGACGTAAACATCCTCTTCTTGTTCCTCTCATCATTTTGTCCTTGGACTGTGATCAATAGCAACATGGTCAAACAGAATTTTCAATTTACGAAATAACATCATCTCGTCGATCGTAATTACATTTAATTTAAATCATACGTTTACTTTTCTCCATATAAAATTCCTCTTTGTTTTAAGTTTCCGTTTCTCCCAAGACGCTAAATAACGTACGTAGCCAGTAGGAACGAGCCTGAATATGTTGCCTAATGGCCCTCCTCCCCATTACTTGTCCTAAAATTTCACTGAATGTGCACCGTAGTTATTTTGGCTCCCTGACCGTCTACGATTGACTCTCTTACGTGAACGCAGGTTTAAAGGTAAAAGCGAGTGCTTTGTTATTTTATGGAAATCACCCCAGAAGGAATTAGACTCACTGTATAATAGGACAACAACCCTGTATTATCATCCAAAACAAACCACCGATACTGCCATCCTTTTACAACATTCGTCCATTTAGATAGAGGTCCTTCCATCACGACCGCCATTTTGAATCTTTCCTAGAGCCCAGTCACGAGCAACATTACTTAAGTGATATGTGGTGTAAAGATCACGTAGTGTTTTCAATCACTACAAAGGTCTATAAGGCACAGCGTTACAATTTGATTTAAGATATGAACACATAAAAAAAATCATCTGGCAAAAATAAGTTACTTTTCTTGCCAAGAAATTGATGGAAGGGAGAAGGGCGGGGTTGTACCGTAATGTTCGACGAAGTTATGAGAGAAAGCCCTATAGACAAAGGAAAATGGTAAGGTATGGGAGGGAAAGGGAAGGAAGCCTGTTGACTAACGGAAATGCAGATATAATGGAAGGAAAGACAGAAGGAGCACAAGGAAAACATGATGAACTTAGCGGGAGAGGAGAAATGTAAGGTGACGTAAAAAATGGACGGATAAAGAAAAGGATCAGAGGAGTACTAAAGACACTTAATCTGCTATATTTTCTCGCTTTATATCATCTCCTCTCATTAGAAAGTATTAAAATGTTCAGGCAAAGTTGCCTTTTAGTATAATATATTAACAGGTGAATTCCTCACGAAAATACCCGCCTTTACATGAAATTGTACTAAAGCTGAAACTGGAAACACCTTCCATGGTCGGTTACAAAGTAGCTAATCCCGTAGCAGTTCAGTTATAAACATAGTTCAAACGTTATTTTCCTTTGTTTCACAGATGGCGAATAACCCTTCGGAACATAAAAGGGAAAGAGAGACAGCCTCCCGCCTTCGTTCAACTATATTTTCTTATCAAGATCTTTATTTGTCATTATTGTAATTTTTTTTATTATAATCATTATCTTTTCTTATTACTTCTATTTCATTTTGCTCGCTTGCGACAGAAATGAGTCGAAATGAGTGACTTTCAATTTCGACTATCGCATGGCCAGTCAAAATGATGCAAAATCGAGCAGCCCTCGTCCAAACCTTCATTAAGTGGAGTAAAAAATTTCAGACACGTGTGTAAGTTTTAGCCATGAATATCTTTGCTGACTACGCAACTTCGCCGCAGGCTATACGTCATGTTGTTTACTTCTTCAATCAGTTTACACGGGACTCTCAACTTAATACTTTTGCGCACAACATCATTTCTGAGGCTCTTCATGACAACAACTTGCCCATGATCCCTCAATTTTCTTAACTTTTACTTCTCTGCTTGGTGGAAAAGAGGATCACTAGCTGAGTTTCCAATGCAAATAGTTACACATGAATGCAGCTTGGGACAGATGAAAGTGGCCCGATTATTTTATTACATTTGGTAGTCCAGCATAAGACTTACTGCGCCGGTGGTGCTGTGTAGAAGCAATTCCCTCATGTGAATCACTGACTATTAATGAAGCAGAGTGACTATCTGCTTCACTACTGACACTAACTGATCTTGGTCTAGGAACAGCAGCAATTACAGAGAACGAGTCCGCCAAGCGTGGTAGAGAAGGGAGAGAAACAGAATTCCCACAAGAGCCTTTTCTACCGTCTTGCCCCTTGAGAGGATGACTGTTCTTCTCCTGCAGAGGTGGTAACACAAGCGATGTCTTCTTTTCTGTTGTACTTTTTTTTCTGTATTGATTTTCAAATCGATTTTGTGCAGCTTTAAGCTGACATGTTTCTGCTTCATACTGTTTCATCAAACGCTGCTTTTCCTTCTGTAAATTCTGCTCTTCTCGAGAATTAGAAGCGTTTGCCATTCTCCAACTCTTGGAGGCCATCATCTTTTCATGTTTAGATAGTGAAGTTTTCATCATGAGAACCTTCAGCGTAACTTAATGTCGTTGTTACTCTTTAAAGGACTACTGAGTGCAATTAAGCACCCCCTGGAGGCCTTTACGAAATCGTCATTAGGGCGCGAACGACGCAATACAGAACAAAGCTATCATTTGGCGTAACCAACGATTGTTGTGTGAAAGATTTTTGGAAACAGCCTCCAGGCGAACTGCACACTATGGTTAATACATAAACTACAATAGAGGAGCCGGCCGGAAATTAATGCAACTAAAAAAAAAAAATAAATAAAAAATAATAATGGCGGACTAACTATTTCATGAAATAACTTGTAGATTCTTGCAGAGACGGGATGAAAGTAAACCGCTTCCACACAGTGTAAGTACAGAAGACAAAGTGTTCCTGCAAACATTGCTCGTCAGTTGCGTCAAGTTCTGCTTTCCTGATGGCGTAAAGAAAAGAAACTTTAAACTTGAGAATGTCATTTGGCTTTCAGTCTCTCTTATCAGTCTCTAGATTTTTTTGTTCCGTTGTTCGTTATAGGAACTAGTACAGACTGAAGACCAACAAATCTTGAATCTTCTAAAGGAGATAGCAACAGGCTATGTTCTGCTCTTAATTCAAAATTTAGTTTCATAAGGTTTCTGGTTTTTTCCCGTTTCACAAATCCTTTGTCTACTTTTGTCTTTAAAATGATCTCACTCGGGCGACTGTTCAAACTGGACTTTTGAGTGGAAGAATAGGGAGGAAGAAAACAGGATTCATTCTTTATTATAATGGTAGAGAGCGCCTTGTTTTTTGAGCATGAAGGAAGAAGGGAAATACAAGCCTTTTCTAAAACACTAGAGTTCCCACCAAGAGACTGAGCTTCAGAAAGTGGAACCACTGAATCGCAAGTCTCACATCTGTGCCATTTGGTGACGTCACTTAACACTGTTTTTTCTGTGCAGTCTCGGTATGAGTGACGTATGAATGGCGTCATACAATGAGGCGTGACCGAGCCTTGTCCTCTGTAAAGTGTCTCGCCCTTTACATGTGACATTTTGTCGCCCGTGTACAGATCAATATCTGTTGTCAGAGATTTCTTTTTCACTGAAAGGGACCTCAAAGATTTTTCTCTCCCGGCTAAGCCCCGTGCAGGTTCGTTGCTGGTATTTTGTATTTTGCGGTATTTTGTTGTTTCAGAGGTTTGTTCTGGCTGTTGGTAGATCCTTCCAATTCGTTTTTCTATCCAGCGCTGTGGTTTGTTAAGATTAAAGGACACTTTTCCTCCTTTAGCTTTAGGGTACGATGAGAAACCTGATGAACTTTCTGCACTCCGTGCCTGATTGTAATCTTGCCTTGCGTCATTGAGTTCGCCAGAAAAATCCGTTTTCCACTTTCTTTCGTGAAACTCAATATCTTCCAATTTGTCGGTAAGTTTTCTAGTTTCACGAGGATTCTTATTTAAAATAGCTTGGCCCATCTTGCTGACAGACACATAATGTATTGTTTCGAAGGCTAACTGCCTCTGAAGCGATTTTGGACGGCTCATACTGTTAAAATTTCAAGGCAAAAAGGATAAAACACGAACTAGATACACGGCACATTTTTATCGCAATTCCCTTTCGAGTATAACCGAGTTTTAACCCTGTTATAAAACAGTCAGCTAGTTAGTAACTGAGAGGAACAATACAATGGCTTGGCTAACTGGTAATTAAGTGATAACATTTTTATGTCTTAATCAGAAACAAAGGATACACAACATCAATTAACACAATATGTTATGCATTGATAGGCATGATCCTCACATTAACACCTTTGATACTCAAAGTACAACTGAAACACTTTGACTGAACAGTAACAGGTTCCAGTTAATCTCTGAGGAACAAATCACACACCACTTGGAAAATTGTCTTTGATCAGTGATTGGTTTCAAAGGAAGAGTTGTGCAGATGTATTTCACAATATCAATGTGTGAAACCCTTTAATTAGAGTTCAGTGCAAACACTGTATATGTGATGATAGCGTGTACTATATTCAAGTTTCCTGTAAATATTGTCAGATTTGTTTTGTTTCGTGGATGGAGCGCTGTGCTATGACCGAAGGTCCGTATTAATATATATTCTAAAAACTGTTTACAAAATAATTGGATTAATTCATATCACTTCACTAGAGCACTGAAGTGTCCTGATTGAAATATAGTTCGTGGTTAATCTTCTCTTAATGTCAGGGTGTAAGATGTATCGCGTTGTTTAGGTCTTTGTAACGGATGCGCCACCAATGCTGCCATATGGTCAAACAGCCGCGTTGTACTGCGTGATACTTCCAACATAAACCCATCTTCTTCTTCGTCCATGTCACAGAAAATATCATATATTTCCTAAATTAAAGTACAAAATATTAGGTCATATTTACGATGAAGTTCATCAGTACCTTTGTGGAGCAATAAACTTGTTGCTTCATCAACCTCCGTGACAACAACTTTACTCCAGCTCCATTTCAGTCTGTTTAGAGATCTATTGTTTCAATCTTAAGTTCCTCTTTTTGTATTCTTAGTCGTAGGGTAAATGTTATACAGATTAAGTGTTCACTTGTTAATGAAGATAGCCTGTATAACACTAAAAAATAATTTTTCTTAGTGACTTCCCCTAACAAAGTAATCTGCATACCACAAACACCAGCATATAAGCCGCACCTTTTAACCTGAAATTTTCCAAACAAATCAGAGGTACAGCAGAGTAAGATCAACCAAAAGTCTAACTCAGAAGATATCATGTCCATACTATTACAGGTAAAACTATAGACAAGTATTCAAAGTATTCTCCATTTTTAATATTAGTGTTCAACTTTCTCAAGACTTCACCTGTTTTTTTTTTTGTTTTTTTGTTTTTTTTTTTCCAATACATTTTTGAAAACTTTTTATCCAAAATTTTTGTTGCCAAACTCAAGGTGGGGTTTATTTGTGAGTGCAGCTTACATGCAGATGTTTGTGGTAATTATTTTCAGAAAATTCAGGATTGTTTTATTGATCCTGGTGTCATATGCAACCTCCTCATCATGTAAATGTTCAGATGAGTATTTCAGTCAAATGAGCCAAGTCCAATTTCTTTTAAAATATCTATACCAACAAATGGAAAAGTGCCTTACTTGAACTGAGACCTGAAGTCACAATTGGCCTCAAAAAACAAAGCAATCAAAATCTAATCAAGAAATATAGAAGATTCTCAATGACTTACTTTACACAGATTCATTTCAGATGGAAGCTCATGAACATAAAGAACATCAAGAAAGAAATATGGGCAGGCAGACAGTTGTGAAAATATCTGCAAATTACAATAAAAATGGTCTTTTAAACATCAATCAAACCTCTATGTATGCTGAGCTTCATCTACCCTTGGTTAAAGCTGGAGGGTGCACTTTTTTCAGTGGTTTCCTAGGCTTTTCTCAAGTATTAGGCACAGACACAGAATCAATCACACCTTCAGAAAAAATCATTGGATGCAGAGACCATAAAGTCTTGCCATTAACTCCTTCATTGCCTTCGTTTAAGGATTAAGTGACACTCATTGTTACCTCAGGCACAAAAAAATTCACAGCAAATTGGTCTACTTTCTCAGAGTGGCAAGAATGTTATATCATTTTATTCAAATCATATTCTAAATGGTACCACACCAATACTTCCAAATTTAGTTATGTTATCAACAGTACCAAAACAAATAAATTCAAGGTAAAGTGCATGATGACCTGTACCAGGAAATTAGAGAAAAGAAAAGTTGAAAAAGTAGTATAAAAGCAATCAAGTGATGTTTCATTTAAGAAAAGACTAACAAATAAACCAGCTCTCTCAAACAGACCTCCTTTGCTCTTGTAGACATGACTGGTATGCAGTAAGATCGTCCATACACTATAATAAGTCGCACAACATATGGAGGAGGCAGTGATATGTCTTCTACATGTGGTAAAGTAACATTTTGTTGTCTGTGAGAGATAAGCACAGAGTAAAAATAAACTGAATATCAAATGAAAGGTAAACCCAAAAAAGTTTAATTTTCCAAGAGTCAGTAAAAATAACTTTAAATTTAAGAGATCAAAATCTGAAAGAGACACAGCTCACCACTTTCTATATCTCCTTACATTACTTTCCACATTCAACAATGACCCACAAAGACCTTTTAAAAGTAGTTGACCTCCAAATTGAACATGCAAAATGAAACAAACCTGAAAAAAAATTAAAACCCCACCCACATAAAATTTGGAATTTAATGCTCATTACCTCACCCCTGTAATTTTTTTCAAGGCAGAATAGCTACACTGGCACCAAGTCAAGCTAACTCACTGTAACAACATATCTATGATAAATATCAGCCTTTCCTTGACTAAAATTTATCAGATGCATTGTAAGTTATAGAGAAAAACTTACATCGCTTCAAATAACTTTGCCATGTTTGAAATGACCATCAAGGATAAAATTCAACAAGAATATAACTTCCCAGTAAGTCACATTTAGCATATATACCATATACCAGAGATAAAGAGTAGGAATTTATTTGATAACTTTCAGCATTCTAGACACTGGTTCCATTAAATTTACTGTCCACTTGTAACTTCTTATTCAATGTCAAATAAATTTAGTGAGAACGGAATTTTTCAACAATGTATAAGTTACAATCATTCACTCCTCTCCAAAGAAAATAAATAAACGTTACATAGCACAAAACAGATTATGGTTTTCAGTGTTCTCCCTTATTTTAAGCATGACAGGTAAAATATATTTTCAAACTGGTAAAAGCAATCCTTTTACCTATTGAATTATCAAGAATTCCAAGCAATTTTAAATGGTAATAAGAGGTACTACAGGCAGTAAATGTTACTGGTTACTGCCTGAAAAGGAGAACACTGGGTTTTAAGCACAGCACAGGCTAGTCTTTATAAAGGATATCATATTCCCCATCTGTTGAAAGTTCATCTACTGGATGAAGAAGGTTTAGCATGCTGCAGATATTTACCACATCACTGGTGAAATCATTCTGCTAAAAAAAAATTTTATTAAAAAAAAATTTAAACAAAGGAAGAATAAAATGATTAGAAGACTTAATTAGAAGACTAAAATGCATCAACTGCTTTTTCTAAATTCTGTATTTAACTGACAAAAAAGATCATTTTGGTAATAAATGGCAGCTTTCTCAAAAACCTGTGGAAAAACTTTACAAAGTCATGTCTCTTATGGTAAGATTATAAAAATAATTCAAATGGGGTATGTCAGGTTTACTCTCATTTCTACAATCCTTTCCATTCAGGTTACACCATATGTCTGACAAATACACCATATGTCTCCAAAAATCAGTTTTCTCAATAAGTCAAAAGATAGAAAGTCTCTCTTTGAATATTTCTGAAGACTTCAAAAACTTACAAAAGTTGGAATATCATCCAGGCCAACAACACAAAACTTGTGCTGTGCATTCAGTTTTGACTTGGTCTTCACAAAGATTTCTCCTGCCCTTTGGACCAGCTGAAATGCTGTCCTATACAAATGTCAAAGATAAACTGCTTTATGCTTTCAGATTTTACTCTAAAAATATTTGAAGTAATAACAAAGTTACAGTAACAGTCCCTGAAATGTTTGTGTATAATTTGGAACCTTCTAAATGACTGAGCAGTCAATCCAAAAACCTCTATTAGTAGATGAAAAAGAATATAGAATATCACCTATCTGAAACACTTTTATTTTGAAATGATGTTGACTTCATCTCTGATGATACATCCAAACATAATATCTGAAAAAACAATTTGAGCAAATATTTTCATCGAAGTTCTTTCAACAGATATCCTCGAAAGTAACCTGATATGTTCAAATTAATAATAAATCGATGATTATAGAATCAAAACTTTCCTTAACTGTAACTTGTTATGGCTTACAGTCTCAATTTATATGATTTATGCTAATAACTATCAAAAGATAACAACGACCATAATATAAGGTATTAATAAAAAGTAATAACATCCGGAAAAATGTGGATCTATCTGTCAGGGACTTCAAATGGTTCAATACTCATCCAATCAGACTCTTCCTTATATGGGAGTAACAAAGAAGAAACTCTCCTCTTTTCGTTTACAATGAACAACATGCATCATGCAAGAAAATGAAGCCAGAAACCGTACTACAAGCATAAGAAGCCAGATGATTTTGGAATTTTGGAACATATGGAGCTTAAATCTTAGTTTTTTGTGGGCAACTGATCCAAACTTCCTATTATTCGGGAGATTTGGTCACCCATACAGGCAAGCAGGAGATTGGCTCAGTATCTGGGAGACTCCTGGATACTCCTGGAGAGTTAGCATATATGCAATAGGACAAAACTTAAAAGAACAGATAACACACATGAAGGAACCCTGTGAGAACATAGGTATAGAAATAACTAGAAGTGACTTAACAGAAAAGAAACTTTTCTCCTATACTGATTCAGCTGCAGTTGAAGCTTAAAAAGTCTGAAATATTGTGTACATTTCTGTTTAAAAAGTCATTCTTACAATGTGCTCTGGACAGTTGACACGAGGGATTTTGCTCCTCAAACCATCATTCTTGGATGAATCTTCTGAACTTAAAGACTGACTGTCTGCTAACTGTGTTACAAAGCCATTCCCTTCTGCTGGCTTTTCTTCACCATCTCCATCAGACTGTACTTCATCACCACATGAATCTTTGCTTTCCAGTTGATCTTTTGGTACCTCAGCATTTGTTGGGCCACTTTGTTTGTCTTCCATCTGACAGATAAATGTAACTTATGGCTATACAGTTAGAGATGAGACGTATGACAACTGAGACTGACAAAATATCAATATGATTATGAAAACTCACACAGAAATTATAAAAAGTTTAATAATGGTGATAATGATGAATAATAATGATAATAGCGATGATAATGAAGACACCATTATCATCATCATCATCTTATGGTTGAAAAATTTTTGAGCTGAGAATAATCCGAGAGTTGAGAAAGAATAGTTTACCTTACATTATAAATAATTGGCGAAAAAGAAAATATAAAAAATACAAAATATTGTATCGAAAGAGAATAATAAAAAAATGTGTTAAATGATTGTTGAAATTGAATTTTTCAATTCGCCGAGAAGTAACTTTATCATTCCTGGGTATTTTGCCAAGGCAGGTATGGTACCCTTCGCAACTCTAAGTACAGGGCTAGCTTCCTATCGAAACACAAAAACACGCTGCCATATCATCAGTAGAGGTACGTCCAAACCGACCTATTCGAGAAGTGAAAGAGTCACCAGACATCAATTTGCCGGATAACCACGGCCTCCTCCAACCCCGCGGAAAACCTATCAAGAGTAGTGACTTGGAAACGAGTCTCAACAGCCCACAGTGCGCAGAGCATCATGGCTTTAACAAAAAAGTGGAGAGGAGACTGGCATCAAGAAACGTCATCGTTGCACGTGCGCAGTGCAGAAGTTAGTCAGCAGATAAAGAGTTTTATGCCGGGCTATTGTACATTTCTATAGGAAAAAACCATGGCTCATCAGTAAGTTAGCGGTTTTAACTCGTGAAATAGTCTCTTGAATTTTCCAAGATAATTATTCCGCAGTTTTTGGATCAGTATCTCAGGCGTTGTATGCCACAGTCGCGAAAACTGTGTGTCGCAAATTACGTGATTACACCAGAATAATCGAAGCTCAAAAATTTTTATAACTTTTCCCTTTGAAAAGTTGTATATTGCGCCAAGTTGTGTTGTGACTTAGAAATTCTTGTGTCTATCAATTAATTTTACAAACCTACCTTGTTGATGTTTTCTGTACGTTTGAAGATCATACTTGTATATTTTTGCGTGTTAACTTTGTCCTTTTTAACTTCCTCCTATTTTTTTGTGATAGGGACGAACTCGCGACGGCTATTTTAAAGAACAAGTCGAAGCCTAACCGTTTATTGGTGGAAGAAGCTATTAATGATGACAATTCAGTTGTATCTATGTCTCAGGTTTGTGTGAAAAAAAGATGCTTTGATTTTATCGTGCGTGGTGCTAAATCATCATCCCTCTTCGAACCCGATCTGTTTTAATTCACTTTCATTTTCGGTTTTTCTTTCCTAGGCAAAAATGGAAGAGCTGCAGCTCTTTCGTGGAGATACAGTCCTGATAAAAGGAAAGAAGAGACGGGATACTGTGAGTTTTTAGATGGAATGATTCAGCAATTTTTTGATAAACAATCATTTGTCTGCTACACCCAACCATGTGATGATGCTGTGAGAATTGAGAAGTTGTATTTCACTGTTTTAATTTTTTTTGTGTGTGAAATTTTACTTGTTTTTTATTAGTATGCTAAGGTACAGAAAAGAGATCTTACTTATAATAGATGCATCTGGAAACTGTTTGCCATCATTTTCACTGGTTTTGGGTTTGTGTCAGGCTCTCATTGGTGGAAAGATGATGTAATCCTTTTTTTTTTGCCTTTAAGTTTCTGTTGTATTGACTTAAGTAAAGGAGCCTCAATGGACACAAATAAATATTCTGTATAGTTTAAGGTTCACAAAGGCATTTTTGAAACAAACCTGATACATCCATTTTCTTTTCTTAGTTTGGGAATAGTGTTCTTTGCTCTTTGAATCAAGTGCAGCAAAAGTACAGCTAATTTTGATTAGTTTGATAAAGCTTTGGATTTGAGTTTTTTTTTCCCACTCTAGGTTCTAGTGTAGTTTAAATAAATTATTTCTTGTTTTTCAACAGGTATGTATTGTGCTGTCGGATGATACTATCTCTGATGACAAGATAAGGATGAATCGTGTTGTAAGGAGGAATCTGCGAGTGAGGCTTGGTGATATAGTCAGGTATATTCACATGATTTGACTTGTAAGGTGAATGTGTATTACTTTCCACTGTTGGCGTAGTTGTAGCTTTGAAATAAGGTTGCCAGCTGAAATTTCAATTAAGGCAGCTTCAAGATGGTGCCTCAAAGGAGGTACTTTATGCCTTCCACTGATGGTTGAAGAGGGAAGCTTGTAACAAGAGATCTGATCTGGCAAAAACATTTCATTTGGATTGTTTACAACTATTTGAATGCAGGGCTTTTAAAATTTGGTGTTTAGCAACAACCCTGTGTTGGTCTTAATCAAGAGTCCTAAATAACATAGAGATTGTTAAGAGAGAAACATAGTTATGGTTTTTTTGTTACTTAACTGCTACAATAGCATTTTACAGGTCTTAAGTTAGTAGTTATTCAATATATCTGCCTCATTTGTAGTGTACAAGCATGTCCTGATGTCAAATATGGCAAACGAATTCATGTCCTGCCATTTGATGATACAGTGGAAGGCCTAACTGGGTTTGTAGAATGTTTAATCTCTTTAGTAGTTGGTCACTAAGGAAGTGTAAGGTATTCCATAAAAATCAATATCTTCAGTGAAATTTTGGTCTGTACTAGAAGTTTGTCTATCTTTATACCAGTACTCCTAAATTTAAAGGCAAGAGATTTTAAGTGTCTGTGTAAAAGTGCAACTAAAGCTTTTCAATACCGCTAAATATTGGCTTATATTAGGAAACCTATTTTTTTTGCAGGAACCTGTTTGATGTGTTCTTAAAGCCATACTTTTTGGAAGCATACAGACCTATCAGGAAAGGTTTGTGTAATCTTGTGTTGTAATAATTTTGACTTTTATTTTTTACAATATTTAGGCAAATCATTACCAACATCTTTCAGTCAACATTTCTCTAATTTTGGAAGAAGCTAAAAAATCATTAATGTAGATACCCTGCCAGCTACTGGCCATCTACCATAGCCTCTTAATGCCATCTGTTTTCCTTATGTGCTTTAAGCCCTTCTTTTGCAATACTACATTTACGTATTTGTCCTCTTAAGAAAGTACATGTAAAGAAATGTTAGGAAAAAACTAGACTAAAAAAGTCTTTCTTTATTGGTTACTCACACCTGGTACAAACTGGGACAGACACTAGGTTTGATAAAGAGCATTGGTAATTTTCTTCATGGTTAATAATTTTTGTTTACAGAGGACATGTTTCTTGTACGTGGTGGAATGAGAGCTGTTGAATTCAAGGTCATAGAGACTGATCCAAGTCCATACTGCATTGTAGCACCAGACACAGTAATTCATTGTGAAGGAGAGCCAGTTAAGAGAGAGGTCAGTCACTGTTCTTTATACAATGAAAATTTGTGTTTTGGATTGCAGCTTGTATGATTCACATGTATGTTGCATGCTTTTTATGTAGGAAGAGGAGGAGTCTCTAAATGAAGTTGGTTATGATGACATTGGAGGCTGTAGGAAACAGTTGGCCCAAATAAAGGAGGTTTGTTCTTTTGTTGTGTGCTTATTAAAGTGGTAAATTGACTGGTTTATTCTTAATGTATACATTTCTCTAATAGATGGTGGAGTTACCTCTCAGACATCCCCAGTTGTTTCGGGCCATTGGTGTGAAGGTAAGTTTTTATTTGAAATGAGACATAATATCAATTGTAATGTGTTGAAACAACTGACAATTTTGTCATATCTTTGCAGCCTCCCCGTGGTATTCTTCTCTATGGTCCTCCAGGAACTGGAAAAACTTTGATGGCAAGGTTTGTGTTGTTTCATAAACAATAATTTGTGTTGTGGAAAATGATGACAGTATGTTTGTTACCAATCAGCATAAAATTATTTTGAGTGGAACTTATTTTGCTTTGTCCTGTTCCTTTTATTAACAGAGCTGTTGCAAATGAGACAGGAGCATTTTTCTTCTTGATCAATGGTAAGATTATGCACAAACTTTTCAAAACCACAATATGGTTTATTTCCTCTTATGAATATTCTGAAACAAAGGGATGTCAAAATCAAACTGATCGAAAAAAAATTAAAACAATGGAAAGTAGCCTTAAAAGATAGTAAATTGTTAGCATTCAAGAAATGTTTTTTCTTTCAACAATTACAATCTGATTAGAAGAGCATGATAAAGACATTTTTGGTTGTTTCTTTTCTTACAATAGGTCCTGAGATAATGAGTAAACTTGCTGGTGAATCTGAAAGCAATCTAAGGAAAGGTTGGTAAAATACCTTTTGAACTTGCCCATCAGTTTTTTAACATTTTCAAAAAAGTTATTCCTTGATGTGCAAAGAGGCTCATCTTTTCTTGTTTGTGTTAATACAGCTTTTGAAGAGGCAGAAAAAAATTCCCCAGCAATCATATTCATTGATGAAATTGATGCTATTGCTCCTAAGAGAGATAAGGTAACTAAAGATTACTGATTGGTGTGTACAGTTGGCAGACTCAAGGCCAATAAATGTTAGAAGCATATCTGTAAGGCAGTGATAACAATTTTATGGGCAAATTATGTTTATTGGGAAGCCATAGGTATTATTCTGCATCCAAATTTTTTAAATAAAGAGATCTTACTTGACCCTTTAACTCCCATGTGTGACCAGGACAGAATTCCTCCTTACAATATCAATACAATATCAAGCAGACAACTGATGAGAATGAATAAAAATATTAATTAGGGAGTTATTAGTTAGTTACAGTACCAAATTCTCAAAACTAACATCAGAAGAATATATGGCAGACATTAAGGAGAATTACTAATTAGATCTTGGGAGTTAAAGAGTTAAAATGACTACTATTAACATTCAGCTGTCTATTTCTGATTGTTGCAGACACATGGAGAAGTAGAGCGGCGAATTGTGTCCCAACTGTTGACTCTGATGGATGGTTTAAAGCAGAGGTCCCATGTTATCGTTATGGCAGCAACTAACAGACCAAACAGCGTTGACCCAGCTCTGCGAAGATTTGGTGAGAATAATAATGAATTTACTCAGACCTTTTGGTATATTCAGCTTTTATTAATATTGAATACACTGTTTCCTTCTTCAAGGCCGTTTTGATAGGGAGGTGGACATTGGCATACCAGATGCTACAGGCCGTTTAGAGATTTTACGTATTCATACAAAGAACATGAAACTTGGAGATGATGTTGATCTTGAGCAGGTGGAGTGTTAAGTCTTTGGTCAACTGTTGTTTGTTTAATGTTCTCTCCTTAAGCACCACCATTTGACTGTATGCTTTATGCAATTTGATTTCCTTGTAGATTGCAGCTGAAACTCATGGTTATGTTGGTTCAGATGTGGCCTCTCTCTGTTCAGAAGCTGCTCTTCAACAGGTTTAGTGGCATTAATTTGTAGAGTTACACTCAACTTCTCACTGATGTCTTATTGACAACACTCTTGTTTCACTTTTTTTATTCTACAGATTCGTGAAAAAATGGATTTAATTGACTTGGAAGATGAACAAATTGATGCAGAGGTACTGGACTCTCTAGCTGTTTCCATGGATAATTTCAGGGTGAGTATTAGTAGGACCTGATGTATCCAAAGCACAATCTCCTGCCAGATATAAAATATGTTTGTGCAGGTTCACAGCTTTGGAAAATTAATTTGCTGGTTTGTTTTAAATTGGGTTCTTCCTATTCGGTTCCCATAATTACAGTTGGCAGATATTGTTGTACATTTAATGTAAAAAACACAAGCAATATGTAATAAACCTTTAAGCTTCTTTGGAAAGTTTTATCTATTCAGGTTCTGGCCACAACCCCTTTCACATTGATGATAACGATTTCCATTGTCAAAGGGTTCCAGTCATAAACCTGGATGTATTTTATTATTACAAAAGAAACTAAAGCGAGTTTAATTTTTTGTTGGGTCAGTATGCCATGGGTGTATCTAACCCATCAGCTCTCCGTGAGACTGTGGTTGAGGTGCCTACAACTACATGGGACGATATTGGTGGTTTAGACACTGTCAAACGTGAACTACAGGAGCTTGTACAGTACCCAGTGGAACACCCAGATAAGTTCCTTAAGTTTGGAATGACACCTTCCAAAGGAGTACTGTTCTACGGTCCACCAGGTTGTGGTAAGACCCTATTGGCTAAAGCCATTGCAAATGAATGCCAAGCAAACTTCATTTCAATCAAAGGTCCAGAGCTTCTTACTATGTGGTTTGGTGAGTCCGAGGCCAATGTGCGAGATGTATTTGACAAGGTTGGTATTTCAAAGAAACACTCAAATTGCATATTCTGCACCTAAAGGTATTGCTCTGTAACATTTTAGAGAATTCTCTGACCACCATGCAGAATTTGCTACAGTCGAACCTTGATTATCTAGACTCGTCGGGACCTCGGTAACTAGTCCGGATAATTGAGAGTCTGGATAATCAAAAATATGAATATTAATGAGATAGACATGTGAAATAATTATCTGCTTATCTTTAATCAATAGAACGACTCTATTTCGCTTCGTAGGCATGTTTTTTATTTGAGTTTATGATCGATTGCTCATGTGTTTACATAACCCATGTGGAAGGAACTAATCAAGCATGAAATTCCCTTGGCAACAAAACAATTGAGCCAATCAGATATCAGCTGAACACATCGGAATATTTCTTTGTCTCATCGCACTTACAAATTTTGAAAAGCGCATAGGATAATATGCTGTTTCCATAGTCTTTTGAAAGAATCATTGGGCTTTTTGCGACTTTGAGTTTTCAAGATCACAACTAATTAATATTCATGAAGAAATTGGGACCAGAGAAAAGAGTCCGGATAATCGAATAGTCGGGATAATCAAGGTCCGGATAATCGAGGTTCCACTGTACCAAATTTTAATGTCTTTAGCTATAGTTATAGTATTATGCAGATGTAGAGCCATTACAGAATATATTCTCCTATTATTTTACATTTGTCTCCTCCAACTGATGTGTCTGTCTGTGCTTTATACTTGTTTGCTGGAAAAATTATTGCAAGGAGAAGTGATATGTTGACAGTCTTGCTGAGGTTTAGAGGTATAAGATTTAATTTCTTGTTCTTATTTTTTTAATTTATTCAGGCCCGAAGTGCTGCTCCTTGTGTGCTTTTCTTTGATGAATTAGATTCCATTGCTAAAGCAAGGGGAGGCAATGTTGGAGATGGAGGTTAGTTTGGTTTTCTCCAGGTCCACACCTGTCCCCATTTGTTTAAAAGGGGAATTGTGCTGTCCTCTGGATAGTCGTTATTCCAGTAGATAGTGCAGTTCAGTTTGTTAACGTGTTTCCATTGTATAAGGATTTATTTGTTGGAACATCTGGCCCCAGAGCATCATTAGGTTTTTCTAAGTGATTTGTCTGTTGTATCTATAAATACTTACAGGTTAATGCACTCAGGGAGTGAATCATCAGGATTTACCTTCACAAGTTCACTACTAATGAATGAGACATTTCAATACAGCATGAGGCTTTGCAGAGTGCAGTATTGAAAATTTCAAGTTCATAGTTTGTGAACAAGTACAGGTAAATCCTGATAATTCACAAGCAATGAGTATGTTAACATCTTTATTATTCAAATTGAATACACTGCACAAAGAAACACTGCATTGAAACCACTATATACTAAGTAAACCAGACAAAATATTAATTTTAATTTAATATGTTTCAAAGTTGATACAAAATTAATCATATGTTTTATAAAATATATTCAAAATTACATGAACATGGTAAGAGAATCAGGGTCTACATCTGACAAATTGTCAAACTTTGAGTCAGCCAAAACCATGGTGTAATGACAGTGGTGTGTTAAATTTACACCATGTCTATTACACTGTGATAATGATGTCAAAGAGGTTGTTTTGTCACAACCCTGTATCACGTGGTACAAATCAACCAATCAGAAAATCAGAATTCATACAGTGTATGAAAGTTGAATGATGATAAGGGGATATTCAATACTTTAATGCTTCCTTACCCTTTCTCATTCAACATATCAAAGAAAAGTGATATAAGTTATAAATAAATTACGATGTCCTTTGGTGACTGGCTTCTAATTTTGTGCTTAGGAGGAGCAGCAGATCGTGTGATCAACCAGGTACTAACTGAAATGGATGGCATGAATGTCAAGAAGAATGTCTTCATTATTGGAGCAACCAACAGGTACTTGTCTTGTTTTGTTCTCTGTTCTTAGATATTAACACCATTTATCAACTAGCAATTATTATATGAATTTAGAGGCTAGAGGAAATACACTGTTTCTTTAATTATCACATGAAATTCAAATTTGTCTTCATGGTCTATGACAGAGGAGAACTCTAATCAATAGTATGATATACTTCAGCCACAAATGTAGAGTGAGAATTAAAACTTGGGATGCTTGTGGGAAAGATGGTAGTCTAACTTGATATAGAATTTGGGGGATCTTCAATCTTATGATCAATGACAGATTGAATTGTTTTTGGTACATATGCATTATTTGGTCCATTTTCTTGTATTCTACAGGCCAGACATCATTGATCCAGCCATACTGCGGCCAGGTCGTTTGGATCAGCTGATTTACATTCCTCTTCCTGATGAAGCAGTTAGTTGATGAGAAATTCTTTTTCTTTTTAAACACATATTATGAGACAAGTTATTTCCTGTACAGCTGTGATGTTACAATTATTGAACCAAGAATAGTGTCAAGTGATACAAGACAGAAAACAAATCATATTTATTAGCTTATATTATTACTATGGTCCTAATGTATTAATTGGGTGCAAACCCTTTTCAGAGGGTTCCTAGATGCTAATCTATCCAAGTACAACACAGGTAAAAATTATCTGGCAAAATAATTGAAGCTCACCTTTCCACTCTCAATTAATTTCAGTCACGTGTCTCCATACTCTCAGCATGTTTGAGGAAATCTCCAATTGCAAAGGTCTGTTTTTTTGCATTTAAATTTTTACCCTCCCATGTACTTCGTGGAAACTCTAGATATTTAGTTCTAGTGTCTGCCTTTTATCTTTGTACATTCTTCTTTTGCAGTTTCCCATGTCAATTGTTATCTGACCTACTATAGACTAAACTAGTAATTCTGAATATTAAAATATCATGACAGGATAAATTGATGCTCTTTTTATTCAAAGACAATCACAGGCTTCTATGCCATTCATTCTCAAGTACAATGCTATAGCTCAGCTCCATAGTTCCCTTAACGTATGCTAGGGTACTTTTAATGAGCAGAAACATCAGATTCTGCTTATTTTTGGTGAATAAAAATTACATCAATGATGCTTAACTGAAGAAAGCCATCTCCCTCTTCCTAGATAAAAACCATAGAAAATTTAGAAGTATCCCCCTGTTAAAACCTTACTAACAAGGTCCATCGTTATCTTTAACAGGATGTAGACTTGAATTATATTGCAAAGGTTACTCATGGCTTTAGTGGTGCAGATTTAACAGAGATCTGTCAAAGGGTGAGACAAAGGTTTTCAGTTGAAGTTATGAATTTTCACATTACCGTACACATTGTTTTTCAGGATAAATCTTTTTGATGAGCAATACAACTGGTGCATTGTAACCTAAAATTGATGCAGTACTGATTTCCTTAGAGAGTCGGTAAAAAATAGAAAGTACAGGGATAATGGGGGGTTTTCAGTGAACAAATTAAAAGATATTGTCCATGAGCATGGTTTGACTTCTCAGAAATTGCCTTCTGTAACACATAATAGTGATTTTAGTGTTGTTGGTAAAATGCCTAGCTTTTCTTCAAGATAAAGTTAGAGTCACTCTTCTAAAGTAATTTGGACTGTCCTGGAAAAATGCATATCCCATGCACAACATAATTTATATTATAATTGAGCTCTTTAAAATGATTGCTTCTCTAGGCATGCAAGCTAGCTGTCAGGGAGTCAATAGAGACAGAGATAAGGTTGGAAAGGGAGCGAGCTGACAACCCAGACTTGGACATGGTGAGAGCTATGTTTGTTTGGATATATTTCAGTAACTTCATGCCCCCAGCAATTCAATATACCAATGTTATATTTTATACATGGTAAGACAAACCATTTATTCTAGTATTGTATCAAACATTGAAGTAAAGAGAAATCTAGAGTCATTTCCATTTATGCCTCCACTCATGACATGTAAAGAGAAATGGAGTGATTGGAGCATCCAATCATTAAAAAATTACTTCAGAACAAGCCCTTCTTGTTTACATGGCAATTGCTAACATTAGATGGAACTCTTTAGGAAGTGGAAGATGAAGATCCTGTACCAGAGATCACAAGAAGCCATGTTGAAGAGGCAATGAAATTTGCCCGCAGATCTGTCAGTGATAATGATATTCGCAAATATGAGATGTTTGCTCAAACTTTGCAGCAGAGCCGTGGATTTGGTGGAAACTTTAGGTAAGTTTTTGCATGGTTAAGAAAAAGTAAGATAGAACTTGAATGGTTGATAATTTAGCAAAAACTGAAAGACATCACCCTGAAACTTCATGCTTGATAAACTTGTGACGTAGTAACTCTAATTATCTTTTAACATAAAACACAGTAAAGAATGAGTTTGTTCATTACCTATTAAGTATCTATTTCTATCTGCTACCATCATATAAAATACTTTTCTCTCTCTTATAATTTAAGTCTGTATTTTTCACAGATTCCCAAATCAGTCAGGAGGTGGATCTCAGGGGGGTGGACAAGGAGGTGGACAAGGTGGCTCAGGAGGAGCAGATGATTCTAACTTATATGATGATGGAGATGATGACCTGTACAGTTAAGACAATCTGCAAATTTTCTTTTATATTTTTTGGAAAAGTTGCAACTTAATCAAGGTGTCACCAACTCACTGTATTGTTACACTTCTGTTTGATGCAATGTTATGTTTAATGCTGAAAAAGGAATATTGTTTCATGAAAATGTAGTGCTTAGCTTTAAATTTTCAAAATGTGATGTACTAGACACTATGATATTTAATTAAAATTGGTTTTTAGTGTGATGTTCCAATGTGTGTTAAATATATAATCTTATGAAAAAAGTAGTACTAAGCAGATGGGGTGCTCAGATAAACTGATTGGGTCAAAATTGGGGAGAGGGTAGTCACCCATTTTAAGTCTGTATGGCAACAGCTGAACCAGGTTCAACATATCCCAGTAGATTCTGCAAAGGAATGGAATATTTGACTTATACAGGTCAAACTTGGAAAGTCAAATAAATTGAGTGTATTTGAGTGTATGTCGTACTAGTCTTTGAATATAACTGTTACTGAGAAGAAGAATTACTTAGAGTTCATGATCACTTCCCAACTTTTCTTGATCCAACTTCTACTTGGTGGTCGGGGAGAAGTTCAGGAGAACTCCAGAAAAGCATACTAGAGGGTTGTACAATTTTGTAAGTCTGACAGAAGAAACCTGGTGGAAATTTGAATCTGTCAACCTTGCTCAAATCCACCTCTATGTCTGAGTTTAGCATTAGTTTTCAATAGACTACCAAGTATGCAGGTTTTGTTATACCAAAAACTCATTTGGACCTGAGTGAGATAGATTTCATTTAATACAGTGATAGATATTTTAAGAAAATCAAGGTTACATTGAGAACATTATGGAATAAAATCAACTGCCTACCACAAAAAGAGAAAGGGAAATTTCAAACTTGATATTGGTTACTTGAGTTAATAGTCTAGGTTCACAAATGTTTCACCAGTTTCTTGAGGGTAAGTGTCTATGGCAATGCTTTCAAGGACTCAATTACATTTCAAGACAGTACATAAAGCAAGTTTCACTACATTTAAGTCTAGAAGAGTACTGCATGGACATTTATTGTTCATTGTACAGCCTGCATCTTGATATAATATGATTAAAATGTCAGGAAAGCAACAACAGGGGTTTTTCTTGTTGTTGTGCTAAGAGTTTCTTCCATGCCTACAAAGTATGTTTCGAAAATTCCATACTGCACTTTTTGTTTCAACAACATTAATGCACCATTAATGTTTTTTTTATGATGAGTATGACTTGTTTGTGGAACTGACAAACTCCTCTTAACCTCTATTTGTAAGAGATAACTTGTGGAGACATTCTGACAACTGATTTATGTGTAAGAATAAGATATGCACTTGTCCTTATAGCCTCAAGAACTGATGGGTAACCTCGTAAATTCCAACTGAAACACCGGCTTCCTCATCATAATCAGACCAGTCCTGTGTGAAAGAAAATACTTCTGTAAATATCATTACTGAGTAGCCTGCTTCAAAACAAGATATAAATTCAGTATTGGTCTTAATGTTTTCAGGAACAAGTTTGTTCACACCTTCAGAGTACAGAGTTCAGATTGATGCTGTATGATCTTACTGTGTATAAATAAAGTTATCTATCTTAACTAATTTTGTCTCTAGACTTGCAGTCACACAAGGCCTGAAAACCGGTTACTCAGGAAAGTAACCCACAGAGATAAATAGAATCTCTACTTGGGAGGTTGGGGATTGAATCTCATGCGACTCAATTCCCTTTCTTGAAAAAATCAAGTACTGGCTTTCTGATAAGCACCTATACACCTGTAGGTGTTCCCTTTACACTATACTCTTAACACCACTTAAAGGGATTTCTAGGATATGTAATTTGAGATAATCTTAATTACCATGATATACAATTTTGCTGGCTTGCATTAATGGACAGGAGATGAGTGCAAGCTTCTTGATCACACACCTGTTTGCTCACATTGGCCCTAAAAGCCCCATTAGTAGAGTGGTTAATACTTTTTAACTATGGACAAATTCAGCTGGGAGATACCTTCTCTGTTAAATTGATGTCTGAGAACTTTGATGCAGAATCAACAGCATCAGCTACAAATCCAACCTGAATAAAGGATAAGATGGGGGGGTTAACATTTGTCAAGTAGCTCTTCTAGGAGGTGATAATGATGCTGCCCCAATCCCAACCCTGTACAGAACACTAGACAACAAAGCCCCTAACACCCTCAAGACTATGAAAAAAAAGGTTGGCCACTAACTCAATTTACATGACAGTGATCTTCATCAATGGAGCATGACTGATTGTAGCACACACAAAAGAACAACAAATATGTCTGTAAATACACTTCTACATCACAAAATAAAGAGTCAAACAAGATGTAAGATATCTTTCACCTGTTTTCCGCTAAATTCACTGGCCTTCATCAGGGTTAATGGCTGTAGCATGCCTATCAGACCACTAAACTACAAATTTTAATATACCTGCTAAGATAAGATATATCATTACAAAGAAGTGAATCAATAGAGCACCTGACTGATACAATAATCAGACAGCTCTATATGACACAAATGGAAATTCAGTGCACACAAATTCTTCCCACTTCATTTTGACTGGAAAAGTCCCCCCTCTTGTCAGGACCCCAGGGCTTCATGCACTGACTTGACTTGTTTGACTCTTCATTTTGTAGTTGCATTTTGCACTATGAAGAAGAACCTGACAGTGGATCCACGGATATTTGAACTTCTCAAAACTTCCATCCCTGGCACAAATGTTATATTAAGAAACAAAGAATAATAACTGTTATAAAAACTCTACACCACTGCTTTCACAGCTGATCAGTGACCCCATGGCTGAAGAATAGCCAGAGAAAGCTTCTAAATGGTTAACTTGAGGCATAGTTCAAGAAAGAACACTATTTCTCAGGTGCAGAACACACCCTTGGAGAGAAGTCAAATGGTTCCAATCCTCTGCAGTCAAATGCTACCATTGTCTTGAATGTGTTACTATCTTCTATCTATCAAATCAAATCAACAACAAAAAAAAGAAATTTTTTACAGCATAATTTGTATGACAGAGGAGTCTTCAAAATTTCCACACAAAATTTTAATTATGTCTTATTCTTAGTTCAACTTCAGTTTTTTAGTGCATGACAATCAGATAATGCAGAGTCACACCTTTTTCTAATGATTAAAGAAGGATCTGAAAGCCTCTATGTGGCCCTTGACACAGGGACAGTTTCTGTGGGGTACAAAATTTAGATGTGGTATTTACCGTGTATTCAGAGATGCTATCCCTTATTATATCTGCAAAATACAAAAGATGTTTTTGAAGCCTGATTTATGGCAATGGAAAACAGATAAAACATGCCAACTCAAAAGACAATTTTACAAATATTTGGTATATCCAATTTTTTTCATAGAAATGGTTTCCTTTTCACTCAGGTCTCCTCATTCCAAAAACTATTGACCATTACTGGGTCTGATTTCCATAGAGTTTTAGAGGATTTTTATTTTCTCCTGAATATTTACCTTTACTGCAGAGGACACCTTGTTTGGTTAAAGAGTAAATGATCACAGAAACACAACAAAAATCACTTTTCTTTTCATTAAGTACAATGTCCTTTGTCACACTCTCTCAGTTCTTCATTAATCCCTTATCTCCCAAACAATATCAATTATATCAATAAAACTAATAATTTATAGTAACAAATAAATGCTAAGAATTATAATAATAACAACAACAGTAACAACTAATTATGAGTGATTTCTCCTCCACCAGGGCTTTTTGTAGCCAGTACTGACCAAGAATGAAAAATTTATCTAAGTAAGAAGAGCTATGGTTTTTTACACAGAACAGCTAAGGAGTTCTAATCAGACCAACTAAGAGCAAATCCAGTGAGTTCTCAAATTGGAGGCTTAAACCCAAAAACACCAAATTACAAGTAAAACCCTCTAACCACTCAGCTACCCAGTTATTACATTATCCAATAAACAGGTGGTGAACATAAACAAACTGTACTTATCAGCTTTATATCGTTTTCATGATGTACCACTTAAGTCTCTCTTACAATACAAGGAAGTGTCTCAGAGCTAACAGAGAATCATGGGTGTCAAAGGTTTAGGGTTATTCCTTTCTCTTACCCATAGAATTTTCACGACCACACAATTTACATTTCGACACAAAGTTGGCGTTTCCTCTGCTTCCTTTAATTGCTTGACTTTCCTGTCAAGTGACAAAAGAACAATTTGATCTCAAATAAAAACAAACAAAAAAGTGATCATAAAATAAGAGTACAGGAAAGATTAGTAGCTTCTTCACAATCAAAATCTTATGAATTTTCAAGAATTTCAAGTGACACAACAGCAGTTAGAAAAGAGGCTCATGACTCCAATTTAAAGAAGATTCAGTGTTCACATGTTTACTTTGGAAATAAAGTGCATTCTTTTAAGAGACTCGGGTTATTCAGGTGATTTTGGATTCATTATTAATAAATAATAAAAAAGGAAAGACTACAATTACGTTGATTAGCATATGTCAAAAAAGGGTAGAATAGAAGGTTTCCGCTCGTGATACAATTCCTCTGGTAAGACCACTACTCTTTTGTTATGAGCTAAAATAAAATACATATGAACTCACCCCTAAGCTCATATAAATCCAGTCCTTTGTATCTTCTCCACAATTCTGACATTGCAACTTAAGAACAATGGGGAAACATAATTTGGTAAAAAATTCAATCCCTTACAGATTATATCCATAAAACTAACAACTAACTATTTATTGAGGAACTATAATATCCCCACGCCATAAGTATATAAAAATTTTTATAAACAGTTTAGCGTAACATCACCGAATGCGATGTCAGTTTGCCTCCTTGTCATTGATGGATAACCCCATAAATGTATCAGGGAGGCAAAGGTTTGAATTCTGTCGAAGCCTGAATTTTCTCGGGCTTCTTTTCCACCTCTCATTAAATTGCAGTTCACCTACGAGAATCATCTCTTCACTTGAAGGTTTTCAATTACGCTAACCCAAAGGTAGCCGTTAAGCATTATTTGTGTAAATGGTTCTCTTATGTTCGGAAATGATGTGTCAAACTAATACTACAAAGCTTAGATTTACCTTCAAATACCAACGAAAGTCTTCTCCGTCAGGCTTAACATTGGTCAAATTTTCCAGATCGGCTTTGAACTGTAAGGCTATACGCTAGACGTTGCAAGTTGTAATCAGTGAACTTCGATTAATGAAAATACGACAATGAAGTAAATAGACAAGATATATAGTTGGAAAACGAATGTCTGACCAATAAAGTTTCATGTGAATCAAATATAGTAAGGTATTACGGAGCTGGACAAATTATAAAAACCTTTTAACATCTCAACCGAAACAAGAACTTACCACCATTTTGCCACAGAACAACAGTTCCTGTGCCTGCATTAAGAAAGACCAGCGCATCACGCACGCTTCTGTCATGCGCTTGAGTAACTCGAACGTGCAAGCAATATGGCGCACCACAGATTTCTTGCTCGTACTATTATGGCTGAAAATGGCGCAACAGCAGCTTTGAGATCGCTACAACGTGTGCTTTTGGATGAGAATGTCATTAGGGATATCCGTCTCAAACGTCACTACGAGAAACCAACCGTAAAAAGGCGGCGAGTGAAGTATGAAAGTGCCCTCAGATTGTACAACTCTGAAATGAATCGCAAAGTAGACTTTGTCATGGCAAAGCAGAGAAAAGAAACTCCGTGGTCCTGAGAAATACTGGAACTTTAGGAAGAGAACTACCTGTTTTGCCTCTCTGGGAGGAAGTTTGAAAAGATTGAGTTCTGTCATGAACAACTGTAGGACTTGTGCGGAAGCCTGCTCATGGAAATAGTACTTTTTCTATGTTAATATGGTTTCTGATAAATGTTATGTACAGTATCCATTTGTAATTGGAACGACTCTGCGAATGAAAGAAATGTAGACCTCATTAACTCTTGGAGATGTTTACTTAGTTACCGTGAAGGTCAGGATCGCGATTAACCACACAAGAATGAAGGAGTACTGAGTAATAAAAGTAATGCTGAACTGTGCTTGTTTTGCTTGCGCCTCTTTAGACCACACCTGAGCCGAACAAACATATGTGAAGCACATTTTCAATTGGGTGTCTAAAGAAATCCAGGATTGTATTGGGTTTGTTTCATTTCGCTCTTTGATAAGTAAAGAAAATTCGTACCACCCTCACCAACAGATGCGTAACGAAGTCATGATTTTGTCCCTTGTTTCACCGCGCTTCTGGTAGCTTGCTAGCTACAAACTGGTTACTTGGAATATTTTCCTCCTAATCTGTTGTTTTGATTAAAGTCTTCATTATCAACCTTTAACTTTTTTGTCATGTGCCTGACGGTTCCTTCATGACGGAAGACTCGAGTATATCTTTGATAGTTGAGCAGGTGACTAAATCTGTCCCAGCTTGGTGTTCAGCTTTTTGGACTCAGCACTTGGTGAACCTGGTAAACCATTCAGTGGGCCGATTTGTTAAGAACATGATTACGCCAACCTAAGGTTGGACTTACCACCTTTTTCAATAGTTTCTTCTTCAAAGCTGTTCACTCGGTTGAGCCAGACCCTACGATAAAATCCACTTAAAGGGGAAAAATTATGGAATGTGACGGAAGTCGGCTGAGGAAAGGTAAGAATAACTGACCTGGCTAATTTGGTTCCTTTCCCACGAAGGGCTCCAGATCAAATGTTTACTAAGGATCACAGAAATATACGTTTTTAACTAATCTCTCTTCCTCTGCCAAGATATCTCCTTGCGAGTGCTTATTTACCTAGATAATTTTGTTTTGTCAACTGACTTAAAAATGTAAATTGGCCTCAAAAAATAGTTTATAAACTGAGTTTCTAAGATGACTTAATTACCTACATGAGAACTTACTCAGAGTTTAAATTCACAGATCATTATCGTGCAACCATCTAATCACAATAAAAAAATGTGGGAACCCAAAAAGGTGCTATAATCACAATTTATTAAAAAATATATGTATAAATATCTCGCTATGATCTAAAGTTTGACAAACTACTTTCATTGATGTACTTAATACACATACACCTGTACATGTGGAGAGAGACTCAACCGTAATTACGATTTAATTGCCTTAGTTGATGGAAAACTGCTGAATTAATGCCCACATGCCTGTGGAAAGTGCCATCATTTGAGCCGAGGGCAAAAACTTAAGCTCCACAGTTTGATAAACTTTTTAGTTAAATGGCTAACAATTTCTTTTAAAATACACCGTTCGTTTACTCTCAGAACGCAAATCAATTAATTTAATTGCTTTCACGATGAGAAGAGGGCAATGCAAAAAAACATTGGTAACTATACATTTCAAAGGTCAAGCAGCAGACGCACATTTAGTCGAAGTCTTTTCTTTTTACAACTCTGCTTTACATCCGACGGAACGGGTGAAAAGAGAGTTATAGACAGAGAGGGATCGTCTTCCTCACAACCCAGTTTTTAGAGAACAGGGTTCAGTGAACTTTGAGAAACCATCTTACTTTTACCAAAGAGGTAATCCCTGAATAACGGGGTAGTCGACACAATAAATGGTTCACACTTAAATTGAAAGAAATTCAGATGTTATTCAATAATGGTGACGTTATGACCGTGTGTAAGATTGAGGAAATTAATGAGCCTTCGTCTATAATGTGAACACAAAGAAGAGGTTACAATGCGGCACGTTGAACTATTGAAACTGTATTATTATAGTTATTTGTATTTTCCTGGTCATTTGTACTTTCTCTATCACATTTCTCACTCTGCAGTTCACAATAGTATGTTCATTTGTACGTATATATGAGATTGTCCGCTGGCAGCTGTTCCAGTGAGCCTTGTATTCTATTTCCCTTGTCTCACTCTGTCGAGGCTCAGACTTGAAGATGGCAATTTGCCGCACTGATCCATTTAGTCTCCTGAACTCATTTAAAGAGTTTTCAGACTTTTAAGCGCTTTCAGAGGACGTTTCTTGTTAGGTTACACCCAAGCAGCCATAGTGTTAGTGCGTGTAAGAGTAGCAATCCTGTGCTACATACGGTAACAGGCGCTGCCGCTGACGTCATGATAGGTGATGCATCGTTGCTGAGATCCTCTCTTACACTCTCAGTTATATTTTCACTGAGAAAGAAATTTCAACATGATTTAAACCTTTAAACTACACTTATTTGAAATCATTCGCTAACAAGTGCGAAAGTGTCCATACCCTTGGAAGTCTTTCAAAAGGGCTGAACTCGGTATACTTTACCTGCAAAGGTTTGATTCAGTAAATACAAGTTTGCAACATACCGTTTTTCTACTGGTGTTTTCGTAACTTTGAGCACCAGCTTCACACGACTGAAATCTGGCCTTTTCCTCCTTCTTCCCGAACATCTTCTTCTGTGCCTCTTTCGACATTTTCTGCGCCTTATTTTTTTCCTTGTTAGAGGATTTGTAATACGGAGTGCCTTGTAACTGCAAAAAAAGGCAACAAAAATGTTACTCCTAATTCCTTGGGCAGTGTAGATCAGGCATGGACCATTAGAAAAGTTATGGGAGTGGGATTCTAAAAGATACAAGAACTGATTTGGTACATCTAGGGTCAAAATCTTTTTTGTATGTTTGTTTTATACACCTTCCTAAAAAAAGCTACATTTAGGACGTTTTTATGTTTCGGAAGATTCTTTTTATAAAACGTCTTGAGTAAAACTCACATCAGTTATACGTGGAAGGAAAATGGGCTAATTTAGAGAGAAAAATTATTCCATACAGAGTCTTCAATATGCCTACGAGAATAAACATCTAGAAAAAAAGTTGGAGTTAATCTCACATGACACTTATCCCAGGTTGGGTGACCTTGGCAGCTTGTGAGTGTCAGAACAACAGTCCAACCAATATTTGAAAGGTATTTCATTGGTTTTTATATATAATAAATAAACTTTATAACTAAAAAAAAAAAACAAATTGCATGAAAATATTATAAATTGCACGTTGCATACTAAATTGAACTAGAAGAACTCTGACAAACAGAAATGGTAAAACAAAATGATAATAATAGCACTGAGTGAAGAGGTTTAGAAGGTGAATTTTTAAATCAAAGACCGTACGTTGGTAGCTTTTGGCCAGGTGCCATGTGCTCTACTGCAAACCCTTCGCGTTTCATAATACCTATGACACTGTGATTTCCAAGAAAATGCCCTGTAGAAAAACAGGAAGTATATTAATATTATGAAGAATAATCTAAATAATATAATCTGATCGACGTCTATTTCCACAATTATATCAAAGACTCAAAATTCACGTCCCCTCCCTTTTTTTCCTACTTTAAACCACTGGTAACGCGGCGTAAAGTAAATCAGCTGGGCTGAACCAGATGACTAAAATACAAAACGAATTAAACACAACAGGACTCTAGTTATCACGTTGTACACAAAGGGTGTCTTCAGGACTAAGAACGATGATGATAGTAATAAGAACTTGGATACAAAATCCATACTTCCCATGAAAACGATACGATATTCCAGAATAAATACTGATTATGAAATCGATAAGGATGACGAAATCGATACTGATAATGCTAAAAATATGGATGACACAATCAATACTGCTCATGATAACGATAAGGATGACAGAATTAATACTGGTAATGATAACGATAAGGATGACAAAATCGCTGATGAAAACGATGACGATAACAATGAGGATCGTAGTAGTGATTATGATGATGATAATGACACTCACCAGCACCAAACGCAAAAAAGAAATTGCGTTCAGGATACTTGTTTAAAAGTTCGATTACTCTTTTTGCCATGCGCTCATTCCTTTTGAAAATGAGCTCCTTTCTGAAATATTGATCAATCTCTTGCGTCCTCTTCAACTCTAATTGCCTTAGTGAGAAGTTGGAAGATATACTTGGCAGTCGCGTTGACTGAGTCGAGAAAAGAACGGAGGTAAGATCTCCGCAGTTATAATGATCTATGAGATCGTCTGTAGTATAAGCTACGTGGGCTTTGCCAACCCGCAGCTTTTCTTGAAAGTTAAGTGTTTGGTTTAAAGCAAAGACCACCTGCAAGAAAAAGGTAAGAGAGTTCAACTAGTTAAATTTTCTTATTATTATTCTGCACAACACGAACGACGGACATCAGTTAAGTGACCATGATAAAATATTTTTAAAAAATCCCTCCATGGTCACCAAGATCTGTTATCACTGTTACAATAAATAAACAAAGAAATTAACAAATATATAATTAACACCAAGACTGAAATAAAAGAGACGCTTACATCCCTTGTAGTTCTTCGATTTCTTGAATATTAAAAAGAGTGTCAAGAAAAACTCGCACCTTTGTCTGCAGCAATGGTAACGCCCAAAAACGTGAGTTCAGCGCTTACTAATGATTGTCAATTTAGCTCTAAAAGGACGTGTAAATGGAAATTTATGTACTTTGGCACGCATGCCAGATTTAATATTCCCTGCAAAACATCTTGTGAAGTATACCTTTGCCTTCAGGCTATTTGGTTTCTTACACAGTTATCTGGGGTGACTCATGCCGTTATTTTTTAACTAAGGAGATCAATTGATCCAAATTAAGTACATACATACTTTATCATCAACCTTAACTTTCACAAGACAGAAACAATGCAAGCTTTTTTGATTCTTTGCACAATAATTTCACTCTCTTTCTGGTTACTGAAACATATAATCGCCAATATACCAACAAGAAAACGATGAAAACAAAATTTGATCGTATGTATCATCGACCAGGTTAACTCACTTATCATTACAATGAACTAAAAACATGTTAGCAATTGATGTCACGATATCTGACTAAAACTTTAAGCCATTATGGTTTATCTGATGCCTTTACTTGTGAAGCATTGTGAATCACGTACGCTCTACTTAGAAAGGTTATCTTAACATTGCAGCTGTATAAATTGAGTTGAATATGTCTTTCATCTTGCGCAATACACAAATTATCTTTTTCCCTTATTTTTTGCCCTTAGGTTTGCGATATACTGGCAAGGCATGTTAGTTACTTGTTAACAACGGAGGAAATGTGGCTAATTATATTTAAAAATATCAAACACAACCTGCTACGCATGAAGAAAGGAATGTCTTTCGCTGCGTTGTATTTTTCTGATTGCGGCTATACCATATCTTTTTGTTTTTGTTTTTAAAGCATTGTTATGTGACAGGAAAAAGACAATGTTCTCGTTCAAACAACAACAGATAAAACAAAATAAAACAGAAGTTTGAACTTTGGGTTATTAAAATACTATTGTGAGAGGCTGTGGTGTAGATCATTGTCTACACAGGACACTCATATACACAAGTTGTGTTTCGGTCAAGAGTCCTTTAAGTTCGGCACATCAAACAGTACCGCCTTTCTAATAATCTCAAAGAATAAAAGGGCAGGGATCAATAGCATTATATCACAGAATTATTCATACCCAAGAAACTCCAAATATTGACGGCCACTCGATGTACCCAGAAGACAGTGATCAAAACTTCCCGCCCGTTGCCGAATGATAGCTTTTTGCGCTGGTAACAGAGAATTTCTCAAGGTGATGGACAGAGGACGTGTTTGCATATTTAATTATGTCAATTCAATTCATACTTATTACAATTCCCTTGAAATCGCCTGCAAAAATCACTGTACGTGAGTCACGTTATAATAAGCACGCCACTTCCTAGTATAACTCATTTATACGGCCAGAAATGAGCTCACCGTGGTTAAAAATGGGAATTTGCAGCAACTTGAAATGACACGCTCTTGATTTAATTAACACCATTGTCTATATTATAGGTTATTGACATAAGGAATAGAAAGCCGCTTAAAAGTAACACAAACTCAACGAAAAGAATGAAACGTTCTCCTCAGTCTATATTCAGTATTTTGTCTGCCTGGAACAAAAAATGCAAAATATCGTGGCCTTTGTAGTAAGCAAATCTTTGAACAGAAAGGCGTGATAATAATAAACGTTTAATGACACCACAGCTGAGCCTTGTTTTCATATCAAACCCGATAAAAGCTGCACAAAACAGCCATGTAATAGATACTCCAGTCGGAGCTTGACACCGGACACCGAAAGGCAAGCCGCCTAAAACATGCGCGAGTGGTGACGTTCAGACATCACGACCATTTAAAGAATCTGCAAAGGATGACACAAATCAGAGAAGTTTTCTCGCTTTTTAATGCATGAGCGCAAATGTTTATTGTTAAGAATGAAAACTTAATAGCTTTTGAATGCATTAACCGGTGTAAAGACGGCAATTGTAAGAGCGATTTACGCAAAAAGACTTTTTGCTAAAACCACTAACTAGTGTAGAGGCAGGCAGTCAGGCAGGTTACCTTCTCTAAATTAATCATCAGATGGTGACTGATTGGCTTTCAAGTCTCATACAAAACAAACTTGACCGCTAATAGACTTTCCTCGTACAATCAGTATATTCACTAAACATTCCAGAAATGCATAGTAAAACCGCTATTAACAAAACACGATTAAGGAACCTTTTCCCACTGTTTTGACAATGTAAATAACAAAGCTCAATATAGACACAAATGACTCTTTTTATGCGTCCGCACATAATATGTAAAATAATAATGCCACTCACTTCACTTATGCAATCGAAATATTTTAACGGCACCTTTGAGATTTAATCAACCCAAAAATACTACTTACTGCAGTCGTAACTTAACAAATAGAAGTTGTTACATGATAATACAATTAGCTCGCACGCCGACTCACGCAAAAAGGAAATGTAAAGAAAACGCAACTTATTGGAGATCACGCTTCAATAAAGCGCCAGTACTACTCGAAGCTCGAAGCTGTCGTCCCATGTGCTTATAGGAAATATACAACTATTGTTAGTTGTCGCGTGCAATTTAACTTTAACATTGATGTTGTCAGTTTCAGTTAATCTATATTGTCCCAGTAAGCTGGATTCTACTGAGAAACTTTTGACTTAGAGAAGATTTGAGAGATTATGCGATTCTCAATCGACTAACCTGTGTATCATTTAGTGAGTTAAGTGGCTGGCACTGTTCCTCCACTTCCTCCACAGCTCCCGTGAATTTCTCATTTCTGGCAGCTTCCGAGGCAAGATACTGATCCAAAACTGGTATTCCTCGATTTTTAATATCACTTTCGGTCAGAGAATTTACCATAAGCATGATCCATATCGGTCGCTTTTTCTGCCAGTCTTTAGTCAGAAGCTGGAATATTTTGTCGGCATAAGGCGCCATTCCTTGGTAATATTCTCCATCATTGTCTTTCAACCACATAGGGATCATTTTCTTTATGTATCTCAAATGCCTGTGTAGGCGTCGATACATACTCCGAGGTAACACGTCCTTGAGAAGTCCTCCCTTGGGTAACATTTGACATTTCCAAAGTGCGTTAACTGTAGGTTTGCTGGTCAAATCAAGTTCAAAATATACGTATTGACTTGTCTTGAAGGCTGCTTTGCTGTTTGAAGGAATGAAGTCCCATACTCTAGTGTAAGGTACATGGATTGTACCGAAGAAGTAAGCTGGTGGGTTTCGTTTCACTAACCATAAAAACGAGTTGAGGTTCTCTTGAAGCTGTAAACACGAGTACAAATGAAATATGCACAACGTAATTATTTTTGAAAGCACAATAGAACAGTGATCTATAAGAATTTAAGTGCACACATTAACGCACACAAGCAAGAGATCTTGAAATCTGTTACCGCGTAATTCGTGCAAGATCTTGTGGAAGGTATTCGGTCCAGTGCTGCATTATGACTCCGGAGAGGTGACTCTGTTACCTGCAGGTAGAGAGGAATACAAACAAGGTATGTTATGATTAGTAAGTGATGAGGTCCTAAAGTCTTAACTTGATCCATTTGTCAACTTACAACGAGTAGTAAAACCCATAAAAGGTTCGAAAAGAACGCCATCCCTTCATCCTAACCAGAGGGATTAAATCATGTGTAACTACAGGCTTATTCAGTTTATCGGAGGCCGCAGTCATTTGGCCTTCATAGCTTACTAACAGACAATCTTTAAATCTCGTCAGCTCCGGCTCAAGCGTTTTGCGGTCTCTACTTGGGTTAGTGACTTGAATGCTGATTGGTTTAGCACATTTCATAATTGGCGCACAGTTAATCTTGAGGGCGGGCCGTCACAGAATACAATAGACATGTCATTAGCCGTGACAGCAAACAACCCGCCTGACAGTTGTGCGTTTAATTGGGGTGCTCACCTACAAGGTTCTGCCTGTTTGCTTGACAAAACGTGAGCTAATAAGCGATATTCTGCGTGAGTGGCGCGTTGTGTCCAAACCATTTGAATGACGTTAATCGCATATATCCATACATTGCTTTAGCGTGCATAGCGCATGAAATTTTAGAACCTCAGATTAGTAACGTGAGCAACCGACACCAGCTGAATCGACTTCATTTCATTACCCTTTATTGCAATGATAAGGTCTCGTAATGCACGCTAGTCCAAGAACGCCTAACCCTTATCAAAAAGCTCCTATTTCAAAATACTTTTTTTTCATTATTCATGGCGGTCTCTTGATTAATAAAGGTTGCAAAACCCATAAGGAGTTGTGTTCGGACACCAGTCGTGTTATCACCACAGGGGAGCTACAGTCGTCACTGCGATTCCACTTAGCACCAGTATTAATTGCTGTCAAGGAACCACTCGGCTGAGCTGCACGGTGTTCAGTCAGCGAACAATTTCACTGAATCACATTCAGCCGCATCTGACTTAGTATCAATGAACTGATATTGCACTTTCAAAATGGTTTTCTGCAACACTTTTTAATAACGTGCTTTCTTCGTGCAAATTAAGTCAAATTAAAACATCAAGTAACAAAGATTTCGCTCAAAAGGTTACCATAATCTTTAAAGAAAAAAAGGAAGGATCTGTAAATGACCAGCACAAAAAGGAGACTATAGACTCCAGAATCCTGTCATTAAACCTACCTTGTGGTGAGCCGTTCTTTATCTGGTGGTAGCGCAAAACATCTTCGGTATAAAATTAGAAATAACTCCCTGTCACACGTTCACACGTGTTTTACTGAGACCACACGCGTACAAAGCAGTAGAGCACTTTTCAAGAGATCAAAGCTCGACTCTCTACAGTGGACTTGTGAATAGTGAATCTTGAATTCGTCAGACATTTAAGAGTTCTTTCTGGATAGCTATCATTGAGTTTTATATTGAGTTACACAACGTAACAGACCCTTGAAGAGCTTACTTAGACAACATCGGTACTTTTATGTTGTAAACATTAAGTTTTTCTTTCTTCACTTTCTCGAAAGATGGAAAGCACCTCTCACAAATGTATCCTTTTGATTCATCAATTAATTTGTTCTTTCATTGATTTCATTTGAAAGTGATTGAAAAAAATTGAGGTCACACTTAAATTTGTTGTCGGCGATAAAAAGTCTTCTTTTCCTTTCGGAACAGAAAAAAAATAGGGAAACATGTTTTAACTGTTATATATGTTTATGATCATATTCTCCGCTTCACATTTTAAAAGATAAAAACAAACGATGCGTGACTTATTTTGAGTAGATTTCCAGTCCAACCGGGAATGTTTGGAATTATTTCACAGTCAAGAGTGCACACGTACGCGGGCGATTGTGCTTGGCATGCAGACTTTTCCTATACTCAAGCACTAGCACCCAAATCTTCTATTGATGAGCCTAACTGACTGACCCACTTAATTGAAAAGATTAGTTGATGACAGAAAACATTAGATACAAACAAGTAAAGAGCACATACCACGATCAGTATTTTCCTCTGCACAATCCACCATTTCATTTCTGAGGCTTCAAACAATGCCTTCCTACATAGATAGCTGAGTGTCTTAACCTATTAAAAGAGATAAAAGAAAATCAATTCAAATGGATATTATGAAGGTAAACAAAGTCAAGTTGACAGAGCCAAGTAAAAATGTGCATCAATACACTAAAATGGCAATTGACATCCTCAAGATGTTTATTCACAACCACAATGTCACGTTCAAATTAGAATTTAAGGTGATGGGAGTTTGCAGAGGGTGAAAAATTGATGAAGCCAGACAAAACTGAAACAATACAGAGCAAAAGATAATATGAAAAACTGAGTCAGTGCTTTAGTAAACTTTGAGAAAAGTAGTGGTAGGGCTTTGGACACATGAAGCCAACCAACAAGATAAATTTAATAATCTATGATCAGTTTCATGAATAGATTCCACGTTGACATGCTTCTGTTCAGAAATAGATCACAGATCATGTCAAAATGTGTTAAGAACAAGAAGGGTACACAGGGCACAGAAGTGTGCATCACTGATGTCCTTACCATGTTTTGTTGTCTTCTATGATCCACTAATGAACAAACACATGGCAACTTGGAATCTAGTTGTTTTAGATAATAACACAAAACAGTGACAATAGTGATGTCATCTACGAGTCTGTCTGACACAGATCATAAAAACTAATCAAAATGGACAAAAAGAGATCTCTAGCAAGTCTTCTTTCAAGCCGAACTTTCTTTCTAACGCTTGACATCTGACCATCCATTTCAAGGAAACTTTTAACATAAGCTCTATGTGTTTAACTGGGAAACTTGTCATTGCTATTATTACTAGTTTGTTTGCTTGCCTATTCTTTCTGTCAAAGCGGTAATTTTTTCGCAGAAACAGCTGTGTTGCGTCGGCGGACAAGTGATGAGTCACTTGAAAAATAAAGAACTTACCGAATTTATGTACGGAACTAATTCTCCAAATTATCCACCGTTTGTATCAGTTCAGAAACATAAATACTGTAGAGCAAAAAGACGGAGTAAAAACGTTAAATTTCACCCTCTAAACTCTCAGCAAGCTTCAAGGGTTTGCGCGTAATTTCACGCATTGTTGTTGCATGGCCAAATAAAGAGTGAATAAAGGTTGTACGGTTTTAAATTAATTGTGGTGCTACGTTGGTGAGAGAGAGTAACTGGGTAACTAAGTATTATTAACTGAGTTGATTACGTAAAATGGCCATCTGATAAGGATGATATCAGATGATAACTCATCCGGTAACTTGCATCTAACCTCCTCTATCATATGATAACTTATCTGATAGGGGAGGTATGCGTACTTCATTTTCCTCGCGATGAAATAGTAGCTTCAAGCCTTGATCTCGAGACCCTATTCTAGAATCGACGACGAAAGGTGCGTTTTGGTCGTTTATAGTTATCAATCAGTCCGGTTGAAACTGTTACAAAACAACTGAGAAGAAATTGTATGGAGACGAAAGAGTTGTGAGCACGTTGGAGAGATTCGGTACGGTTAAGGAAAAGTTCTGGGATTCAGGATAATTAATTATGGGGATACGGGATATTCTAGAACCAACGATACAGTATATTATACTGCGAATATATCTTAGGGTTTCAATATAAGCAAAAAAAAAAAAAAGATCCATTTGTGACAGGAGATTCAATGTCTTGATTTTTATCAACTCAAAACACTAAATTGTAGTTGTGACCAATATTCTGCTGTATTTATGAAAAATTTCCACTTGAAACATATTTGTGACCCAAACTGGCAATAGAGATGGTGTATAAATATATATTATATTCAAGTAAGATTCAATTTAGATGTTTAGAATACAAGGAACAGCAAAGGGCCCATAGCATAGACAGATTAACACTTTAATGAACACTGACAAAATTTACAATATAAAAGCATTCAGCACTAAAATGAGAAAAGCCTGACTTATGGCCTTGAAAGTATTAACTGGCTTTTAGCCATTTGTGAATGACAATCTGGCGGCTAGTTTTGTTTCGTAAAAGATGATGTCATTTAAATCATAACAGAACAGAACAGAGGCAAGTGACATTGATTAACATGCAATTGGACCAGGAGAAGTCTTTTGTGAAAACAAATGATTGAATCAGAGAGGCAATAAAATGAGTACATGAATGAACTTTGTGAGCATCTCTGTCCTGGAAAATTTGCAAGGTACTTAATTACTGGCTGAGATTCTGAACGGGGCCACATGAACAGTAACAAGATCTATTTAGAGTAAAGGGAAAAGTACAAACTCCAACACTAGTATAGTATTCAATTGTCATGTCATTAGTTAGTATCACTGTCATAGTCACCGGCACTGACAGGCTTCTTCTTATAGCTCCTGGACTTTTTCTTTGAACGTCGGCTCGAGCTATCTTCTCTCTCACCTCTCCTTTCACCATCTGACAGATTTTCATCCTCTTCTTTTTCCTCTGAGTATTTTTTCCTTTTCTTCTTGCTCCTATCATAATCAGAACCTTCACTATCTTTTCCTTCTGCACTGCCATATCTTCTATTTCTTTTCTCTCTCTCTGTGCCTTGATCACTGTCTGCTGCAATGGTCAAAAAAGCATTTTCTTTATAATAAGTGAACTTATAGAAATGGTGGAAAGGAAACCAGTTAAAGACCCACGGTGACTCAGTACTTTGATGACTTTGTTTAAAGAATCTAAGATCAATAGCAATAGCAGAGTAACCTACCTGGATAAGCTCTTTCCTTGTCACTTTCCTCCTCAGCGCTTTGAGAGCTACTGTCCTTTTTCTCCCTCACTTTTCGCTCTTTTTTCTTTTTATGGTGTGCTCTAATGATGGAGAAGTTTTGTTAACAGTTTTTTAGAACTTGTGAAAGATTATCCAGTTCTTTGTTTTTTAACAAAATGCACTGTTTTCTGAATTCTAGTTTGACAACACATTAGTAGCACTCAAAAAAGTGTAAAATGTATTCTTTTCTATTGAGCTTCACATTTGTTCACCTGAAAAATAAAGAGTTCAGTAATCCAAATTCTTTGCTGCTAAGTTAAGAACACTTTTTAAAAGAAAAACCAAACAAAAAGAGAGGAAAAAAAGGAAAGGAGAAAAAAATGCATCTTTAAATGGAATAAAATAAACATTCATGTATTAGTCTTGAAATAGGGTTGCCTGGCAGTGAATCTTTACCTAACATGAGAACCTGACTTACATTTAATTTCCTCTTTAAATGGAACTGATGTACTCTCCAACTTTTAAGGTAAAATTAGGACACAAAAGGGGGAGACTAGCAGCCCTTATTAGGGTTTAACTTATAAAGAGATGAGAGAAAACAGAAAAATATTTATGAAAACTTACTTAGAAGAGCTTCTCTTTGGTGACGGTGAGATAGAATGACTTTTTGATCTTTCCCTCTCTCGTTCCCTGGCTCTTTCTTTCTCTTTCTCTCGCTCGCGTTCTTTTTGTCTTTCTTTTTCCTTTTCTTTTTCTCTTTCACGCTCTTTTTCCCTTTGCTTCTCTTTTTCTCTCTGCCTTTCTTTTTCCTTTCTCCGTTCTCTTTCTTTTTCTGATTCTCTTGTTTTCTCTTTGTCTTTTGATCTAGTTTTTTCACTCCTCTCTTCTGATTTCTCTCGACTTTTCTCCTTCAAACTTTCAGGTTTCTCAACAGCCTCTGCTTTTTCCTTTGGTGCTTTCTTTTCCTTTGATACTGATCTTTCACAAGAATCAGTTCTCTTCCTTTCTTTGGACCTGCCACGTGATTGCTCTCGT